CTATGGACGGTGACCTGTGCATGCCAAGTGAGGGCCAGAGGGGGTCATGGGCAGGCAGGAAGTCCTCCTATTTAGCTTTAATGATCAGTGTTCCATTGTGAGCCTTATGATAACTATGATGTTATTTTATGTATTTTAAAGGTGAAACAATTGTTAGCTAAGATGGGGTTCTGGACAGGGCCCCTCAGAGCTCCACCACGCACCCACTATCCACTCATCCCCATCTCTCAAGATACACATAAATGATTTTGGCAAACAGCAAGATGAAGGCTTGGAACTGTTTCGCTCTTAGCACCCTAATGTTTTGGAGCCAACTCTGCTCAACTCTTCCTGGACCATCTTCTGAATGTAGGTAAACTGAGGCAGTGGACAGGAAAATGTACTGAGCTTGGGCTGTCTTGAAACCTGAATTTGACCTGCTTTTCACCCCACACCCCACACCAGAGTTGGGGTCTCCAACTTTCTTGGACACCCTTCCAGGATGACCCCCAATAGGTGTGGGGTTGGTACTCCATTCTTAAACAGTCAGCCAATTATCACAAGATTCTGAGCAAATAGAACAATGCAGATAAGTGAATGGAATAGAAAAAGTGTAGTAAATGGACTACTTAGGGCAAAAAATCTTTTAAAAACCTATCCTTAGAGTAATGAGAAAATAACACAATCATGAAACAAGAACAGAATACATACACAGTTGGCCCTCCATAGCCACAGGTTGCCCACATCCACAGATAGAAAATATTCAGAGAAACAGGATGCTTGCTTCTATACAGAACATGTACAAACCGTTTTTTCTTGTCATGATTCCCTAAACAATCCAGTATAACAACTATTTACATAGCATTTACACAGCATTAGATATTATAAATAATCTAGAAATGATCTAAAGTATACAGGAGGATGTGTGGAGGTTTTTGGCAAACACTACTCCCTTTTGTATCAGGGACTTAAGCATTTGCAGATTTTAGTATCTGTAGGGGTCCTGGAAACAATCCCCCATAGATGCTGAGGGACAACTGTATGTAATGAACATTCGGGTAACAGGTCTTAGAGATTTTGAATGTTAATGAAAATTTAAAACTTCATAAAAAGGTAGGAAGATAAAGTCAAGGAAATCTCCCAATAAAAATCAGAAACAAGAGAAAAGATAAGAAAGTTAAAGAAGTGATCCAAAAATCTAGTTTTTGAATAGTAACACTTTCAGACAGAGAGCAGGAAAAGTGTGATAAAAATTAAATGAATAATTAAAGAAGAGACTTGTTCTCGGTGAAATGGACATACCTGAGGTGTCTGAATATTTGAATGTCATTCATCTTTGTAGTCCCAGAGTCAGATACAAATCAGATAACCCAAATATCTGAAAGACTAATCATTACCAAAGTTTGGGGTCTTTGAAATAAAATGAATAAAGGAATAATGCTTGAGAAACAGAATTAGTAAGGCTAAGTCCTCTTAGTATTAATATTGAATACAAATATTTTATAATCTAGCATTTAGTATCTTGCACTGGTAGCAAGTGAGCTGTACCTGGAAGCTGTCACCACTTGCCCAAAAGCTGAAAAATGAGAACCAAGCTACTGTGGCCTAATCAAAAAGTTGTCAGTAAGAACACCCCTGATATAGAGTAGCAAATAGAGCAACTGGAGAGCTAAAATTTTCATCAAAATTATTTGTAAGTATTTGGCAGAGAAGTGATACAAACGTTTTATTTTCTTTGAGACAGGGTCTCACTCTGCCGCCCAGGCTGGCGTGCAACGGCACAATTACAGCTCACTGCAGCCTCAATGCCCAGGCTCAGGTGATACTCCCACCTCAGCCTCCTGAGTAGCTGGGACTACAGGGGCACGACACCACACCCAGCTTATTTCTTGTATCTTTTTGTAGAGAGCAGGCTTCACCATGTTGCCCAGGTTGGTCTAGCTCTTGCGCTCAAGTGATCCACCCACCTCGGATTCCCAAAGTGCTGTGATTACAGGGATAAGTCACCATACCTGTGTATATGCTAACAATTGTTTCACCTTTAAAATACATAAAATAACATCATAGTTATCATAAGGCTCACAATGGAACACTGATCATTAAAGCTAAATAATTTAACTGTGCAAACAGGAAAGATTAAGAGTATAAAAACACAGTATGTGATGTCATAGGATTGTAAAAATAAAGCTATTATGGAATTGAGAAAGGTAAACAAAAATGGGATGGTTGACAGATAACTAGTACAGGAAACAAGCAAACCTCTCAAAAAACATCCTGCTTTAAATGCCTGCATTTACTCAAATCATTTTAGAGGAGGTAAGAGTCAGCGGCTTACAACTTTGGATGTAGGGAGGAGACATCACTTAATAAAGGACTAAAAAACTTAAAGAAAAAACTCTGAGGAGAATCGAGTAAACAGGAGACTTATTTTACCTCCCTCATCTCTGCTTTTAGTAAAACAACTAAGTATTTGTATATTCAGAAAATTATATGGAATAATTATATGGAATGTCTCTCCATGTCAGCCATATCTACAATAAGATCTTCCCAGCAAAATAGAAGTTCTTTCCACCAGGTCCATAAATGGACTTTAGATATCTCTGGATTCCTACTCTCTCTCACAAATGTATGTAAATTCTGTGTATGTGCACATCTTTCTGTAAAGACGTCTTTTAGTTATACTTCCAGAACTAGCTTCAAAAAGTTACACTGCTTCAGAATGATCTTGTCCATTCATTAAGTCAAAATATGTCTACTTCATTATCTTTATACCTAGCCAAGTAACATTTCAAATACTCTCCTATAATATGACTCTTATCATAGGAGGATACCCTAAGTGATGAATCTCTTGATGTTGGACACTTACCTTAAAAAAAATATAAAGAGTTGCCCAAAGTATTTTAAATAAACATTGTGTGTATAAGAAAAAGACTACGCTGAAGGCCTTAATGCAGTAGGAAAATCATCGCTACAGAAAGGCCCTACTGAACTTGATCACCTGCTGTTCTTAATCATCACGTTTCCCCCTCCATCATTCAATCATATTACCACTTTTCTACATGCGTTTTAGTTGTGTTGTGGACATAAAAGCCATGAGCTAATTTTTTTTTAACTGGAATACTATTATCCCTACCCTACAAATTTCCTACCATAAGCTGAAAAAGTTCTGTGAAGTACTGAATCAAATCACATCTTGTATCTTGAGAACACTATACTAGCATTTAACACCATGGAGAGATAAACATGGCTTCAGGGTGTAACTGCTGAACCCACACCCAGCTCAAAAATATTAACTGTAATAAACGTAATGCTCTTATACCATTTTCCTGAGATTACTCAACACCTCAGAGAGGAGGATCAAAACAATTATTGTAGGAGTTCAGACAGGGTGGTGGGAGAAATTATAAGAGGAAATTATAGAAAGAAGCAAACCTTGTTGGAAGGCCAGGTTTTGCAAAAGCTTCAAAAGAAAATTTGGCTGAAGACAGCTGAATTTTCTTTAAAAATTAGGTTAGATAACAAGGGGATGTAAAGGAATTGGTCTAGATTAGTTTACTTAGGCCTCGGAACCTGGCCTTTAATCATTTGCGCACAGGACTGCTGTCTTGGTGGGCAGGGGAGGGGAGCGGGCATGCTAATTACCCAAAAGTGTGTTGACTCAAAGCCTTTGTCATTAAATCTGTACTAAATAAATACAAGCAATGCCAGCTTATCGGGGCTTCACTCTCGCTGGACTCTCTTGTCAGTGGTGCCGAGCAGTGAAGTCCTCTATTCATGCTGTCAGGCAAAACACCTGTGTCAGCATACATTTTTTCATCCGTTGTTCAGCCAGGGTCTGTGGGTCAGACCCGGCAAATTATTTTCTGCCTCAGCAGATTACTTGCTTTAGTTGATGTGTAATAACGCCCTTCTCCAACCCTTAATATAGTCCTGAAAATGCAACTAAAATGCTCACTTTAAAAAAATAGATAGATATATTTTTTTGAGACAGAGTCTTGCTCAGTCACCCAGGCTGGAGTGCAGTGGCATAATCTCGGCTCACTGCAACCTCCCCCTCCCAGGCTCAAGACATTCTCCTGCCTCAACCTCCCGAGTAGCTGGGATTACAGGAGCCCGCCATCACACCTGGCTAATTTTTGTATTTTTAGTAGAGACAGGGTTTCACCATGTTGGCCAGGCTGGTCTTGAACTCCTGACCTCAGGTGATCTGCCCACCTCAGCCTCCCAAAGTGCTGGGATTACAGGTGTGAGCCACCGCGCCCAGTCAAAAATTATTTAAACTGAGAAATAAAAAACTTATTACTGAAGAGGACATACAAGTTTTAAGTGTGAGAAAGTATTATATGGCTAGAATGAACACTAAACTTTACTGCATTTCTTAAATGTGTATGTGCCAGGCATTATGTTAAGTCTTTTAGATATATTCTTAAACTTCACAGCTGTCCTGATGGTAATCTACCATTCACATTTTACATCTGAGAAACAGTATTTAAAAGAGAGAGAGAGAGATCGATCTTAGAGGTAACATAACTTCTCTAAGATTAGCTACTAAGTGGCAAAATCAGGACTCTGAAACACAGCATTGCCTGACCACAGAGCCTCTGCTTTTTAATGTCTTAGCATTTTGCCTGCTCAAATTAAATTGAGAATCCACTAGAAACTGTAAGTCTTATTGATGGTGGGCCAGTAGTATTTCCTGTGTATCTCCTATTGTATATTACTACACATGTAGTAGCTACCAAAAGATAGCTAACTAAAGGAAACCCACGCCCTACTGCAAAATAGAATAGCTTCAAGAAGAATGCATGATTTGGCCCATGGAAAACAGATCAAATGTTTTGATGAATGGCATGTATAATATCAGAGAAAAGTAACCCTGGAAGGAACTGTTATATATGTCTTATTTTAAAATAATAGGAGCCCATGAAGAAATAACCATTCAAGAGTTATCAGTGATGAATATTAAAAAGCAGATATTTTACCTCTCAACTAAATGTTTAATCAAACAGGAACACTGAAGGTGCATGTAACTTTTTTATTGAGGCACAACAAGGCATTGTAACTTGCCTGGACTTGAGGCAGTCAGTTTAGTAAGCTGAACGTTAATACAGTTAAGGATTAAGTGCAAACAATATACATTCACAGCTTGACTAGCGAGGCTACATCACAATTTATAAAGTGCCAGATTAGTGCTAATTGTCATTCAGCTTGATTTTTCACCTTAGGAAGGAAAACAAAAAAGTAAGGACCTCCTCCTTCCTCTAGGAACAAAAACATTTTCCTAAACCAATCAGTCATGAAGGCAAGGACTACTTTTCCTTCAATCCCACTAATTAGAACATCATCCTTTTACTGTCAATACTGTACTGACTTTCAATCTTGATAAAGAAGATAGCCTGAAAACGTAGAATATTTCCAGCTACTTCCATAAATTGCTCCCCTGTGCAGACGTAACCATATCTGGTCTCCCTGGAACAGCTGAAGAATTGCATGATTGCTAGCAGTTTCATGGTCTGGAGCACCATCATTGGCATAGGCTGATACCAAGACCTCTTCATTCTTCATGAGGTTGACATACAGTGGCACATTCACTGCCAGCTTTAGCATGTGAAAAATGAAAACATAAGTGCCATTCACTGGGCAATTAAATCTACCAAGCTGAAGATCAAAAGTTTCTCCTAAGTTGTTCAGAAGAAGATCAAACACAATAGGTTGGTCTAAAGTTCCAGGGGCCAGATTAGAGGTTCTGGCTGCTGAGAAGGCAACTCGCATCTGCTGAGGCAGGGGGTAGACGTGTACTGGCAGTATGGTGGCTGCTGGATTTGTCACTGGCACATCCACAGGGGTCATGCTACGGGAGTCGCCTTGTCCAGAGTCACCACTGTTAAAGGTTTCGTTGTCTCTTTCTGGGCTGCTCACCTGAGAAGAATCACTCCACCCTGCTGTTTTATTAGCAACAGTGAGTTTCTCATAATGAAGCAGTTAGCTTTGAACACAATATTTAACATTAGTCGGCTACTGAAACAGACAAAGATACATTTTACAGTAAATTCCAAAACAAAAGCAATATATAGCTAGATTATACTTTTCTAGATTTTTCTGGCAATAGGTTTTTACAATACTCTTCTAACGCCAGAAAGCTCCAAGATAATCTTGTCTAATTGATCCTTTTTAAAGATTAAGAAAATGTAGCCCCCAAAAGGCTAGATAACTTAGCAAAGTCTAAAACTCAGGTCTGAACACTTTTTACTTCATCTTCCTCCCATAATTCTTAATTTCTCAGAGATCATTCTACAAAGCAGCTAATGTAGAAGGTCTCAAGAAAATGGAGACTACATAAAAGAACCAATTTTTAGAACTACTAGCTACTAGCCATTCAGAGATAGACTGATATGAAACTAAGTCCCATGATGAATGCTTGGTTTTTTTTGTTTCCAAGTCATACACTTTTAATGTTTTCAGTGCCATACAAAAACACTGCTCAGACTAAGGCAAAGGAAACTGAATACTCGCTATTTTTTTCAGAAGGAAAACATTGCTTTCCTGACAAAGTTACTCTTCGATGATTTTTTTTCTCCCTTATACAAACTTTCAATAGTTCCTTCACATTTTAAAAAGTGTTATAAGTATGCTGCTTTTGTTTCAAGTCACGGTGTGTTAATTGTTGCTTATTTGAATCTATTAATGCAGTGACATTAAAGTAGAAGTACCCATTATTACAAAAACCACCATCCTGAATCATCATATGAAAAATATTTGAAATCAGCATAGTGAATATATAAGATTAAATATGCTCTAGTGTCAAGTAGATTTTTAAAAAACACCCACCCTTTTAATTCAATTTGCAATTGGTTTCCATAGCCTATCTGAGTAGTCTAATATCTCCCTTAGTACTTTAGTACTACATTCAAGCAATTGAAAACCTCAACAAGACAAATGCTAAAAAGCAATGCGCTTTGGGAAGAACTTGGTAGAGGATGCAGAAAGAACTAGAGACATGTTTTGGGTAAAAAAAACTATTCAGCTAATTACTCTTACCTCTCGAATTTGCTCGTGGACCACCAGATGTCCCTCCTCGCTTATAACACTGCTGGAAATTATCCTAAAGTGAACATATAATATTTATCTTGGCATTAAAAATGCAGGACTACAATTGGTTATTACACAGGACTACTGGCTGGCAAATCTGTAATATTGTCCCTTTAGTTCTTTACCTGGCCTTCCCCAGCAACCAAAGAGGCTCAGATGTTTCCAAACACTAAGAAAAACAAAGCAAGGGCAACAGTGGCATTACTTGCTTCATCTGTTAATTAATCTGACCAATTAGATCTGTTAATACACGAAAAACAATAAAGCACTTGGAGAACACTATGTAAAAGATACAATGCTGAGTAATGAGATAAAGTTTTACATGTGGCATGGTCCTCTGTCCCTCATCTCAGTATAAAAGGACATCATAAAGCAAGAACACAGATTTTTCTCAACCTTGCTCTATTTATACACCAAACTGGGAAGACTAATACCAACTATGTTGGGATTTGGGAATTTTTTTTAAAGAAATTGATAAAAAAGTATATTGTATAAATATATTTAGTGCCTAGAAATATAATCCAATATATTAAGAAAAAATGTTCCAGGGACAGTACTTCAAACAAACTCAAGTATGAAGGAAGCCAAACTTCATACAACTCATGAAAAGAATAATTAGTGGTGTAATTATTATATGCAATAAAAAATTGAAACAGGACAAGAAGGTATACAATAAAAATAATAAAGCCTCTTACTCCATACTCCCTGTCCCCTCTCTGCAATAGCAACTAGCATTATCAATTTCTTGTTCCTCAGGAAGAAATGTAAAAGAGCACACAAAATACTGTAATAGTGGTATTAAGAAGAGACCGTTCTTTTACTTAAGTCTATATTAATCAACATCCTCCCCTCACATACATTCCATGAGGATCACGTAATAACATCTAGTATTTGTATGACTGATATACACACCTGGCTCTGTAGTGCTAAGCACTTAGGTGCTTTAGTTCATTTAATTCTCAGAATATCTCATGGAGAAAACCTCACTACCCCTCAGTGTTAGATGAAAAACTAACAGATGAGGAACTAGAGCTCAAAAAGTTTCACTAACATATCTAAGGTCACGTGGCAAAAGAAGTGATAAATGAGGGGTCAGACCCAAGGCATTTAGATTCCAAGGTGTTTTTCACTCTTTTTTTTTTGAGATGGAGTCTCACTCTTCTTGCTCAGGGTGGAGTGCAATGGCGCTATCTCTGCTTACTACAACCCCTACCTCCCAGGTTCAAGCAATTCTCCTGCCTCAGCCTCTCAAGTAGCTGGGATTACAGGTGTGCACCACCACGTCCAGCTAATTTTGTATTTTTAGTAGAGAGGGGGTTTCACCATGTTGGTCAGGCTGGTCTCAAACTCCTGACCTCAAGTGATCCACCCGCCTCGGCTTCCCAAAGTACTGGGATTACAGGCGTGAGTCACCACGCCCGGCCTTCACCCTTTTCAATACTGCCTCTGTGTGGACATCCATCCTACCCCATGTAACTGTAAACTCCAAGGATAGGTATTTTATATATTACCAACAGAACTCAGTATGATACCATACACATACTCAAAGGCTTGTAAAACTTCAAAACTGAATATGCTGATGTATTATAGATTCAAATCTGTAAGTTCTCAAGGTTTGTTAAAGTGGAATTTCTAACATACTCTTATGAGTCTTTTATCATATGTAGTAAAGAAAATATGCTGGGTTCTTCAAATAAGAATAAACAACAACAAAAATCTTGGCCGGGCGCGGTGGCTCAAGCCTGTAATCCCAGCACTTTGGGAGGCCGAGACAGGCGGATCACGAGTTCAGGAGATCGAGACCATCCTGGCTAACACGGTGAAACCCCGTCTCTACTAAAAAAAATACAAAAAACTAGCCGGGCGAGGTGGCGGGCGCCCGTAGTCCCAGCTACTCGGGAGGCTGAGGCAGGAGAATGGCGTGAACCCAGGAGGCGGAGCTTGCAGTGAGCTGAGATCCGGCCACTGCACTCCAGCCTGGGCGACAGAGCGAGACTCCGTCTCAAAAAAAAAAAAAAAACAAAAAACAAAAAACAAACAAACAAACAAACAAAAAAAATCTTACGAAAAAGGGCTTTGCTACATTTGCTATTTAGGCAAGTTAAGTCAAAGGCAATGTAGTAAAGTTAAAATCATGGGCTCTGGAATAAGAAAGTCACGTTCTAATCTTAGTTTACCATTTCCTTGATGAGTGACCTTAGATAAGTTATTTAACCTCTGAACCAGTTTCTCCTGTAAGGTGGAAGAGCAAATGAGTTAATGCAAACAACATGATTAATAATGTCCTTAACACCTTCTAAGTTCCACATAACAAGCAGTTATCTATCATTTATCTTTCTTGAGTAATTGGAAAAAGCTTACTCAACTCTTCTCCACAGGACTTACAAGTAGTTTTAAAACTAAGAGTGCACTTTTAGAAAACAAATTATGACTCTGCTATATACTTCAATCACCAGCTTAACATCAACAACTGTACCATTATTCAACTATGACAACTATTCTTACTTACCCTTTGGGAATAAGGTGATCCAGAATACTCTCTAGCTTGGAACTGCAGCTGGCTATAATTTCCATTGGAAATTGAAGGAAGTCCTCTGTAAGTATCAAAACCTAATAAATAAACACACTTACATAAGATTATGTACAAAATCATTAAACTTTTAAACAGTCTAATTCTATATTGCTTTAAAAGTTAAATTGATTGTATTACGCCACCATTAGAATTATGCCCTCTTTAAGCAAACTCTACTAATATTGCTTCCACAGTAAAACATACATTTATAGAACAATGATGTCTTCAAATAAGCCAGGTTTATAAATTTACTACTGCTAAAATGCCGGTTGGGGTTGGGAAAGCGTGGTGGTAGGGCAGTTAGCTACTCAGGGCCTCTGTCAAGGGTTATTTTCTTGTTGTTTGCTTTTTTATAGGCAGTGCCTCGCTCTGTTATTCAGGCTGGAGCATAGTAGTGAGATCACAGCTCACCGTAACCTCAAACTCTTGGACTCAAGCATTCTTTCCAGTTGAGCCTCCCAAGTAGCTGGGACTAAAGTGCACATCACCATGCCCAGCTAATTTTTAAAAATTCTTTGTAGAGACGGGGTCTCACTATGTTGCCCAGGCTGGTCGCAAACTCCTGGCCTCAATGATCCTCCTACCTCAGCATCCCAAAGTCATGGGATGACAGGCGTGAGCCACTGCACCCAGCCTGTCTAGAGTATTTTGTTAGTAATAAGTAGTGACTAGGATACTTGGAACCATAACAAAAATTTAAGAGAATACCATTATTATAGTCTCAAATTCTATATTCTTTGTGACATAATCTAACAAATAACTAGATAATGGGCATTTTGTAAATATGATACACTTTTAGCAGAATTAAGTCAACAAAAGAAAAACATCACTCAAATATGAAAATTCATCCTCTGTAAAACAATACGGTGAAACCTTCCACTTCAGTAAGTCACAAAATCAATCTGCTTTTCATACAGAAAATTAGTTCCTCTGTTATGGAGAATAGGTATATTAAAAATACTTCATTATTCACAAACAGGAAATTCTCTACTACATTATAAATGACAAAAGGTTAGGTAAAAGCAAGGTTAGGTAAAAATGGTTTGAGTCAAGTAAACACACAGACAAAATAATTCAGTATAATTAAATTTTATTCAGGGCATACCTTTATAACCACCAGGGGACCGATAGGAATTGGTTATTAATCTCCCACCACGAGTACATCCTCTAACAGATCCCCGGCTATTGACAAATGGCTGAGTAGGTCTGGGAAATACATTCGTCTGTGCTGGGTAAAAGGCAAGGCTACCATTGCTTACTTGAATAGTTCCATCAGGATGATAATTTGCTGCTTAAGAAAAACGGTTTTGGAGTCCAAGAGTTAAATGGTAATAATCTTTATACTTAAAAGCCAGTATATATCAAAATCATTAATACAATTTGCTCCCTTTAAAAACAAATAGGAGATATATATTCATGTATACAGTTCATCTACATGATTCAAATACATAATTCATATATAATGGAATATTATTCAGCCTAAAAAAGGAAGAAAATTTTGACCCATGCTACAACACGAATGAACCCTTAAGACATGCCAACTAAAATAAGCTAGTTTCAAAAGCACAAATATTGTATACCACTTATATGAGGTACCTAGAGCAGTCATTTTCAGAATCAGAAAGTAGAATGGTGGTTGCCAGGGGCTGGGGGGAGAGGAGGAGGAGGAGTTAGTATTAAATGATTACAAAGTTTCAGTTGGGGGAAGATGAAAAGTTCTGGAGGTGGACAGTGGTAATAATTACACAACAATTTGGTTGTACTTAATGCCACAGAATATCTATATAGTTAAAAATGATTAAAATGGTAATTTTTATGTTATGTATATTTTATGACAATTTTTAAAAAGCAGGCTAAATACTCCAGATGAGGGAGTAAAAGAAAATGGATTCTAATTAATACTGTATCTGAGAAGGCACATGACAAAAATATCATTTACGTAAGTCACCTGCCCTGTCTTTTAACAGTAGAGGGGAGAATAGAATTGGGTCATCTGTGCCTAGGTCCCAGAATTTATATTACTACCTCTTCATCACTTGATTAGCCAAGTACTCAGAATGCTCAATTCATTTGCTCCGACTTCAGTTAAAAAACTCAATAGGGATCTGAAATACCAATATGAAAAATCTACAAGTGCTTCTTAAATTTAAACTAAGAAATGAGTACAAAGTTACCTATTCATGATTTAGAACAGCATGAAAGATCAAAATAGCCTCCCATCTCTAAGCAAACTGTACAATGAGCATACTAAGTCATATCTTCACAGTCTTCAATCTTTTGTTATAAGATAAAAAGAAAAGGACAGATAACCATTTGTGTTAAAAGGGTTAACAGAATGGTTTCAAAACCTTCATATAAGCAGCCAGATAGTGCCCATCTACCTCAATCACTGTCTGTGGTAATCAAAGCAAATAGATTTGAAAATACAAACCCACTTCAAGGTTAAATCAGTCTTCTAAGTTCTATCTCTACAAAAATTAAAATTAATAGGTAAACAACACAGGAAAGGGCATTAGGTTTTTCTCAACACTGGAGGAACATGTGAAGAAATAATGCTTACTAGTCAGGAAAATACTTCTAAAGTGTCACTACAGACTTGCTAGACTTGCTCTCCATTCAATTGGCGGTCCATCTAAGTCTTCCAAATATCATATGCAAAGATCTTACCAGTCTCTTGAGAATGGACAGTTTGTTCTACATGTATAGATGGCAGTTGGCACTGGGGTGGTGTTTGTGTACTTGCTGTGGTAAAACTTTGATTGTAGCCAGATGAATAAGAGGATTCTTTTATTTCTTGTTCTTTCCGTGGAGGCAGAGGTGCATTAACATTAAATACCTTAAAAGACAAGGACACGCTGAGTCATTTGGGAATTTTCAAAGAAAATTCTTAAGGGTGGTATCCAGAAAAATCGTACATTCAAAAACTTCTATTTTGCAGGCAAAGGACTTGAATAGACATCTCTCCAAAGAAGATAAATGGTAAATAAGCACATGAAAACATGCTCATCATCATTAGGGAAATATAAATCCAAACCATAATGCAATACAAATTTATACCCATTAGGAGTATACCCATTAGGCTATTATCAAAAGGACAGAAAATAAGTGTTGGCAAGGATGCAGAGGAACTGGAACCCTCATGCATTGCCAGTGGGAATGCAAAATGGCGCAGCCACCCTGTGGAAAACAGTATGCTGCCTCCTCAAAAAGTATAGAATTAACATATGATCCACTAATTCCATCTCTAGGTATATACCCCAAATAATTGAAAGCAGGACTCAAACAGGTATTTATACACCTATGTTCATAGCAGCATTATTCAGAATAGTCAAAAGGTACAAACAACTCAACTTCCCAACAGATGAATGAATAAGCGAAATGAAGTACATACATAAAATGGATTATTCAGCCATATAAAAATGAAATTCTGATACACTCTATAACGTGAATGAACTCTGAAAACATTCTGCAAAGTGCAGTAAGCCAGATACAAGAGGAAAAATGTTGTAGGATACCACTTATATGAGGTAGAATAGGTAAATTCATAGAAACAAAGTAGAATAGAGATTAGCAGAGCTGTGGAGGGGGTTACAAATAGAAGTTATTGTTTAATGGATACTGAGTTTCTGTTTGGAATAATGACAAAGTTCTAAAAGTAGTGATGATGACTGCACATTATGAATGTACTATTATAATACCACTGAATTGTATACTTTAAAAAGGTTAAAATGGTAAATTCTGTTACACATATTTTACCACAGTAAAAAACACAACAAAAAAACACTCCTACTTGATTCCTGACAGAATTCACACCTAAGAGCAAAAGTTAATCTTCCTGCTACTATGCTATCATAATAATGCTTCCTGAGAATAAAGGCTATAAGGGAAAGGGGTCTTTTTTCAAAAACTAAAGATGAATGAAATATTTCACCGTTTACTGAATCTTTACCATGTGGCAAGCAATGATCTGTCCTTCTATGACTCTCTAGCTCCCTGATTCTGCTCCATTTTTCCTTACATCACACAGCACCTGATATACAGGTATCTGTCTCCCCAGCCCTCCTACCTCCATAATAAAATGTTAAGTTTCCTGAGCATATTTTACTTTTTTTCACTGCTACAACCTCAGTGATTAAGAACAGTGCCTGGTTTTGTAACTATTCTTTAATCAATAAATGAGTAAGAACCAATGTGTAGTGGGTAGGATTCAAACAGGCAGATAAAACAGATTGGCATGAGCAAAAGGTATTGTGACAAGAATATATAAGGCAAGCCCAGGGGACCAGTGTGGCAGGTATACCAGACTTGAAAAGGTACTGAGTATCAGAGGACTAAATTTCATTCTGTAATGGAACACTGCTTGCTTTTAATTAGACAAAAGAAAAGGTAAAACCAATGTGGCTATACTGTGCAGGATGAACTGACAGGAAAAGAGTGAAAGCAAGAAAACTATTCTGTCTAGAAATAAGATATTCTAAGTGATAAGGTGAGTGAATTCAACTGTCTGGACTCACCAGCCAATCTCCCCGGGTGATGCCTGCTTTCCATGCTACTCCACTGGCCCCACTACCACCACCAAAGTGCTTGGAGTGGGACACTAACCACCAACAGGAAGGGTACTTACTGGCTCACTAAGGCTTTTTTCCCCCCGAAGAACTGTTTTAGACTAGTCTGTGTTTAGAGAATAAACATACCAAACTAGCTGTAATATTATTTAAAAAAAAAAAAAAGCCCTAACTACAATTTGTAGAAAAATACGTAATTCAAAACACCACACAAATCTGAACAAATCTCCAAAAACCATCTTGAGATCAGGATAAAATAAAATGAAAGTTTTAGCAATGACAGAACACCCAAGTATGTGTCCGGTATTTCAGGTTACTGATGTTAGGGAATAACACTAGTACTGATATTAGTAATGGTTAGTATTATTAAGCTGTTGCTAGAAATTCTGTTTCTCACCCACACATTGTGTTTGTTTAATATGGGTCCTCGACTTTGCCTGCTACTAATTCTGAAAGAGGGAATAATGTTCTGATAAAACACCCATTTAAAATTCTAGAGCCTGCGGATTTCCTACTCTTCTACCACAACAGTATTGCCACTGGCCAAATATAATTCTACGAACTCAAATAAATTTTACAAAAGGCAAACTTTTCACATAGTACCCAATAATTATGTAAGAGAAACAATGGCTTTTAACAGGAATAATGAACTGTAATCATCATTCATGTTTCATACTCACTGTCTGCATGGCTTGAAAGGGTGCTGTGTTAATGGTTACTGAACTACTACTTGCTGGAGGTGACTGCAGGCCCTGTTCAGAGCCCTTTGCCATGGGAGGATTTGGAGAAGCTAGTGAAGACGGTTGCTTGCCTGGGGGAATTGCTGCCTGGGGAGGAGAAATGCAGCATCAGCCAATCACCTGCCATATAACAAGCAGTTAACTTACTCTAAAACCCAAACTGGCATAAGTCAGCAAGTTCTTTAGGATGACATTTGGACACAGGAATGCAAAAGAATAGCTTTTGCTTACAACTTCAAATCTCAGTTGCTGAGGATGCATACCAGTATTTGCTTTGCACAGCTTGCTGACTAAGTGAAAGAGTCTTACCAATAATCAGTCTAACAGATGAGGGGCTGAACTTTTTTTATGCACCTCATTCTTTTCAAACCCTGAAATGGTAATTTCCGGTTAAGAACCTAGTATTATTCAAAATGTATACATCAGAATTGGATTTAAGAAAAAACTTGGGTTAGTTGTTTAGTGTTAATTTTTCTCTAAAGACTTATTAGTGGGTTTCTAAGTCAGCTACCTAAAACAGAAAACAACTCTGATCCGATTTAAGTAATCCTTACCTAAGGAAGCCACAAGTTCTTGACATAACAGATTATAAATCCAAAGGCTTAAAAAAATACCAAAAACCAATCTCAACTAGACTGTGAGGCAGACAGCTATGAGTTACTTGGTAACAATCACTTCTTCCTCTTCTTAAAATGAGGAATGAGTTAATTTAAATTCAGATCAAGTCTCAGCACCATAAAAACTAAGGATTATCTATATTTTCTTATATTCTATAATGAATACATATTCTTATATAATAGTTAACAAAAAAATACCTGATAGTTGCTAAATTACCACTCAAAATTCATCCTACTATGTCCATCTTAAGAATTTACTCAAACTTAGTAAAAACTGTAACTTAGAATTGAAATTGAAAGCACAAACATAATACCGTTAAAATGCCTTTTTTTTTTTTTGAGACAGAGTCTCACTTTGTCACCCAGGCTAAAGTGCAGTGGCACACAATCTCTGCAAACTCCGCCTCCCAGGTTCAAGCAATTCTCCGGCCTCAGCCTTGTGAGTACCTGGGACTAGAAGCACACGCCACCGTGCACAGCTAATTTTTGTATTTTTAGGAGCGACGGGGCTTCACCATGTTGGCCAGGCTGGTCTTGAACTCCTGACCTCAAGTGATCCACCTGCCTTGGCCTCCCAAAGCGCTGGGATTGCAGGCATGAGCCACTGCACCTGACCCAAAATATTTTTGACAAAGTTAGCCAAAATAAGATTGTAACTCATTCCAACTCAGTAAGTGCTAATATTAAAAATATAAAGTTATTGAGCTTTCAGTTATACAAATAAGAAACTTTTCTCCTAAAAGTCCTCCAGTGTAAATATAGTGAGAAACTTGACTTAATGCTACCTACACTTTTCATTTTTTTAGATTAAAAATTGACATTTATTGCACTAGATAAGGCAATACCATATTAAATCTATTTATATGGCAAAGCCACAATGAAGTTACCTGTATAAGTTCTAAGATCACAATATCTATAGAAAGCAATACATTAATAAAGTATAAATGGTACATCATTCAACTAATCATGCCTGTAATTCATAAGATAAACTGGTTCTGCTATTCTTTCAGACACAAAAGAAATTAAGACAATTGGTCTTTTACCTCAGGAGTCTCTGAGGTCATAAACTCTGTTTCAGATCCAGAAGAAGCCTGATCGGTAGTAACCAAGCAAGCATTTGAGCTACAAGTAACTGGAGTAGAAGTAGCCTAGACACAGGAAAATACAAAATATTGTAAAAGGCACATTTTGTTAACTTTATATTTCTTGGGCCCTGGCCTTCCTAATATGTTACTCTTACTGAACAGGCACATGTGTCAAGAAGCACTCTACTAAACACTTTACACATGTTAATATATTTAATCCTAATGATAATCTGTGAGGTAGGTACTATTCTCATTTTATTGGCAATGAAGCAGTGACAAAGAAAGGTTAAGAAATTTGCCCAAGATCATACTACAATTAAGTGGCAGAGCTGAGATTCAAACACAAGCAGCCTGCTACACTGCCTTTCCAGGCCTGGTCACCAAAACTACACATCTCATCCCATTTTCACTGATTCTTGGCCCTGCAGTAGATAGCATCCATGGGAAGGTGAGCTCTGGGCATATTTAACACTGTAGGCACAGCTCTGCCAGAGATCATAGTAACTATGCTTTCATGCTAAGTGCTATCAGCGTCCTAAAGAGGCAGGCTAAAGTATAAATAGAATAAGCTCTACATAAATCAGAATGACACCAAAAATGCCAGTGAAAAATCAAAGCTGATAGCATATGTAAAATAAAAATTGGGAGACAGTACATTAGGAACAAAAGTTGTGACAACTGTAACCAACAGAAAATGAAAAGAGTGGCTAGGAAAGAATTCTATCACACAACAAGTATTCAAAAATAGCAGAGAGACACTCATAAAAATCTGGCAAGAGCAAGGTCTAAAGTTTCAGTGAATCCACTCCTTTTATCTAAATGCTTCCATGTGGTTCTGAGGACCCCAAGTAATAAAATAGGTGAACTGGAAACTAATGAAGGGTAACAAAACAGAGAAATTATGTTTCAGTGACCTTCTTGAAGGAGGCATTATGATATGTTGCTTTTTAGGAAGGAGACTGGGGATTAAGTTTCAAGATCTTATGGAAAAAAATATTGGAAATCCTTTAGAACATCTTATATTACCCAAATAAATAGGCATAACTTAGATCTGGCCAAAATATTAGAACCATTATGAGATTAGAGTGTTTCTAAAACTAGGTCTTTCTTCTGCTCTGTCATTAAAGTAATGAGACAAGTGCCCAAGAAAAGTAGAACTGGCTGTTGTGGGGAAATAACTAACTCTGTTGCTAAGGGAAGATTCACAGATGCTAAGTTAAGGCATCTTAGGCCACTTGATATTTAACCTTAAAATGGCTTGAATTTCAGTTAAAAGGTTCATTTAATAACAAAGACATTTATATTAGTATTTATTTAGAAGTGATGGCAGTTCCTGCTTCCAAATTAGTGCTTTTTAAGTGGACCAGTTGGAGGTGGGTTACTGGTAAATAAACATGATGTTTGAAACTAATGTTCCAAAAAATGGGTATGAAGATTCAACCAGGAAGTTTTTAAAAATATAGGTAACACCCTACAAAATTCTGCTCTAACAGTTCTAAGGTCTTATCTAGAAATGTATACCTTATTAAAGTGACCAGGGGCTTCTGATGCAGCCATCCCACAGCCTCCACCAGAGAACTACTAAACTAGACCAGTGCTTTTCAAAAAATTTATTTGTCAATTGAAAGCCTTATGGAGAACCCTAAACAGCTGGAACAGATAAAATTTAACTGCTTTAGTAAAAGCAGTGAGTGAACTGGAGGAAAGTAGGAAAAACGTCAATATACCCTGCTCAATAAATACAGTTTGAAAATTAAGGCTGGGTGCAGCAGCTCACATCTGTAATCCCAGCACTTTGGGAGGCTGAGGTGCATGGATCACGAGGTCAGGAGTTCAAGACCAGCCTGGCCAAGATGGTGAAACCCCGTCTCTACTAAAAATACAAAAAAATTAGGCAGGTGTGGTGGTGGGCGCCTGTAATCCTAGCTACTTGGGAGGCTGAGGCAGAGAACTGCTTGAACCCGTGAGGCAGAAGTAGCAGTGAGCTGAGATCATGCCACTGCACTCCAGCCTGGGTGACAGAGCAAGACTCTGTCTCAACAAAAAAAAAATTTTTTTAATAATAATTTCTTTCTTCAGATACTTTACTATGTTAATAAACTAAATGACTTAAGTAGCTCAAGAGAACATAATATTCTTAGATAAGGTACCCTCTGATTTCTTCAGGCTTGCTCTCTCCTTACTAAAGTCAGCAAACCTGTATTAGATGTTTTCAGCATAGCCATCAGGGAATCATTTTAGGTCAAGTTGTATTTAATCTACTAAACTAGATAATGCTTAGAATACTTTTAGTAATTTCATTAGGTACATTAGAATCAGTAAGTCTGATTATTCTTTCCAAAGCAAGAGCTTCTTCCTTGAGTAACAAAGAATAAAAGATTAATTTGGAAAGTTACCTGTAATGGCTCTTGAAGAAAATCACTTTGACTGGACAGATTTTGTTCTTTAGATGCTGCAAGGAGTAAAACAAACAGTAACTACTGAGGGAAGACAAAAGCTTATGCGTATCAACTAGGAGGAAACTAAAGCTTACACTTCACAAAAAAAGGCATTAGCTGGAAGGACTAGGTTTCAAGTTCATTACGCACTTTCTATTAGAGTTTTAAAGAGAGAGAACTGTAGAAGAATAGAAAATACTAGTTCCATCGGTGACACAGAGTGATGTTTTAAGGTTAAATGGGCAAAAATAGCATTTCAAGACTTCCAAAAGAAAAGAACTAAGACATTAAAAAATAACTGATAATAGTGACCTGGAAGATAAGACCCGAGCTACCATGCATAGTAATTAACTGATAAACTTAAGTTTCACAAATTTCAAAGTCAATCTTATCTGGATCATCTGTTCAGTTTTTTTCTGATTATATATATTAATATACTTTTCAATTATATAGTTTGTTTCTTGTTAATATCCATCACTTTTATTAATTACTCTCTATTTACTCTTACTTCACCCAGGAATTGCTGCATCAATCTTCAAGCTGGTGTATACTGCTCACTACAGCTGAACTAGCTTTATGTCACTCCTCTCTGGAGAAAAACAAATGTGGAGCGAAAAGCCTAAGCTTTGAAGCATCGGGCCAAATTCTAATGTAGGCTCCTAACACAGTTAGTTACTGTGTTAATCACTGTTCTACACTTCATTGTGGTAATCGCACCCGTAGTTAAGACCTAAAAGCCTCAACACTAGATTTAGAGTCCAAAGGAGTCAAGCAAGTTCTGGTCAGAATTCACTCCAACAACAACATAAATTACAAAAACAGCTATTGAGTATTTCCATTCACCCATCCAGAGCCTTTCTCCAAAAAGTGAAAACAAGCCAGTTAAGTACACTAATGTCCTAATGGTAATTTACCCACGTATAACTGGTAACAGATGTATACAGTTAGAATAAATTAATACACCAACATATTAGGACATCTAAAATAAAATCATTTGAAAAGACAACAACAACAACAACGAACAGCTGTTAGCTCAAGACGTTTGCTCCAAGTCTTTAGAATAATTACATACCTACGGGGCTACCTGGAGTAGCTGAAGGCGGTTGTGACGATGGAATTGCACTTGAAGGTTTGTCAAAGTCCAGAACAGACTCCTAAAGATACAATTTTAAATAGAGTAGAAACAGAGATTACTCATTTAAAAGCTATTACCACTAAATTATTCATGATGCTGCCTATAGTCTATTAGCTACAGATATCTAGCTAAAGCTATAGGTATCTAGCTAATCACTATCTCAAGATGCCAAAAATAGTCTCCATAGAAAAAGAAATTAAGAATTAAAATTAAAATCTAAAGTAACTGCCATACCTTAAGGCTGTGTAGAGTGCTAAACCCACAAGAGTAGGCTGTGCACAGTGGCTCACACCTGCAACCCCAGCACTTTGGGAGGCTTAGGTAGGAGGATCGCTTGAGCTCAGGAGTTTGAGACCAGCATGGGCACAAAGCGAGACCTTGCTGCTACTAAAAATTTTTTAAAGAATTAGTTAGGCATGGTGGTATGTGCCTGTAGTCCCAGATGCTCAGGAGGCTGAGACAAGATGATCGCTTGAGCCCAGGAGTTCGAGGCTGCAATGAGCTTTGATCACACCACTGCACCCCAACCTCGGCCAGCAGAGTGAGACCCTGTCTTTAAACAAAACAAAAAAACTACAACAGTAAATCTAAGGACTAAGTTGGAAAAGAAATTCTTGACCTTACTAAGGTCCTACACATAGCCATCAATCCTAGTCTAATCAGAACCCCCATTTTTATTACACCCAACCAAAGAGCACCTATTTATCTCAACCATTTACTAGCTCATGCTGTTAAAACACTTCCATGATGAGAAATCACTCTCTTCTGCCTATCTCGGTTCTCCCAGAAAAGTTTCCAATATTTTGCACACTTAAGCTACACATTTGCAGGGAGCATTTTAGTTCTTTCATCTTCAAGTAATCTGATGGTATAGGCAATTCCTACATTTTGCAAATAAGTGTTGGAGGTCAGTTAAACAGCTGGTAAGTAACAGAATTTAAACCCATGTCTATATTCAAAGCTCAGGATCTTTTACTAAACAAAAATACTTATTTGACTACTTTAGCCCTCAGTAATCTCACACTATTCTCAAATTCTGTGTTTCTCACAACATAAATATATTGTATAACACAATTTATCATTTAACTGTTGATTTAACAGAAATTTACAATCTTCTACAACTGGAATATAAATTCCTTGAAGGCAATGAATGTCTTATTTTCTGTATCTATACTACAATGGTACCTAACAATACCAAGCATAGAGTAGGTTCTCACAGTTCTCAGTACTGATGATCTATAGCAGTAATGATACTTGTGCAAGTTAAGCTTTTCACATGCTTACTTCATTTTTTTTTGTTCTAACAAACTTAGGAAGTAGGAACAATAATCCTCATTTTTCAAATAAAGAAACTGAGGCAGAATCAAGTAATTTGCCTAAACTCCAGGCTAGTAGAGCTAGGAGGCAGCAGAGCCAGGACTTGACAGAATAATCAATGCTCTTAACAATAATTTCACTGTAATATTTCCAATTAGAATCCCCATGAATATCATTTAAGATTTTGTAAATGATTCATACTTGCATAAAGTTACAAGTTCCTTGAATCTGGGTCATCAGATCCTGCAGTTTTTCTTTCCTCAATACTGGATCCTTCGGAAGGGTAGAGGAAGAACCTACAGGCTGATGCATAGGCTTAGGCACCTACAAGATAAACCCATAATGTGTAAGAGTGAAATTCAAATTCAAGAGCCTAGTCTAGGAAACAGCTTATCACTACATCTTAAAGGAAAAGAAAAAACAGCAATGTTCATTTATCACAGATAAAGAATTTTCTCATAAATACTGTTTCTAAATAAGCAAACTTTAAACAGATTTTTCCCCTTCACAATTTTCATGGAACTCTTTCTAAAACACAAAATTAAGATCCAGCAGAACCTCCTTGTTACGAGTGTTTTCATTATGGACACGAGTTACCATATGTCCTCTAGTATAACACACCAATGACTATGAGACATACCAATGATTTTTTTTTTCCAGGCAAAAATTACTACTACCACATTAAATATACATCCCATTTTTAAGATGTATCTGATTTCAGAAATCAAAATGTAAATACATATATAAATACATACATGCACATACCCTAAAATTGAGGGGGATACACTATATTTTGTTATAAAGTAAGTACACTCTTGGGGGCTACTGATATTCATCCTAAATTGCTTAAAATTGCTACACATCCTGAATTAGACCAATTTACAGTTACTTTTTAAAGCTGTCAACATGCCAGTCTCCACTAGCTCCTCTTCTCCACCTTCTAATTCTCAAAGAAGATACACAGCTAAGTTTGTCAAAGGTACCAGATAAAATAGAGTTAAGAGACCGTAAGTGAATACATATGAGACTCTTTCAGGAGGAAGGTATGAACATTAGTGATTAATTTCATGTTATCTAGTCTTTTGGCTTTGAACTCTATTCTGCATTTGACTGTACTTAGTCAATATTCTAGACAGCTCAGATTCCAAGACAGACAGAAAAATACTATATTACACATAGAAGTATCCTCTCCTCTCAGTAAATGAAAAACCCTGCAACTTCAATATAATGCTATCTGTGCCACAAAAGCAAATTAAGTATGTTTTGACCTTTCCAAATATGCAACCCTGATTTTAAATGCAATTCATCAAATAGCATGATAATATTCTGGTATGATAAAGGTTCTGCATTGCTATACCTGCTGGAATTTTAAACCACGTTTTTAAAAGCAGCTTTATTGAGATATTAAATTGGGTTTTAAAATATGTTTTTCAAAATAGTTATATTACAGTTACGGTTGTGTGACATTTGGTTAATAAAATAAAGCTGCTAATCTTCCGCAGGGTCAGGAAGAAGCTAAAATTAATATTAGCAACTTGAAAGGAGAAAGGAGAGCAAAACAGCCACATAACTCTAAAATTTTGTTTCCATAGCAGAATTAAGCCAAGGGTAATTTACTTATAAAATGCAATGCTTTGCTTTCCCCAAGCAAAATGTTTTTCACATTATTAGAGGGCCAATGGTTTATCAGAAAGCCTTTAGCTAAAATGGCAAAAAAGTGCAAGGAAGACTACTCCACAGAGATAAGAGATCAGTGGAAGCACAAGTTCATACATCTCAGCAAATGACGTGGTAACAAGTTTACGTTATAAATAGTAGTAAATAAGTAATTTACAATAAAAGGCAACCCTAACATAGTACTGTACCCAAGAATTATTCAATGTAAGTTTTATCTACCTGAAATAGGTTATTTATGCTTAAAAGAATGTGGCCTTATATTTTAACTGAATCTTGTACTCCAAAACCTAACTACAAAATATTTAATGCCAACACTCTTCCTATCTTTGGAAAAATTCTCATTTTTGAAATGGAAATAGAGAACTAATTCAAATCCTTCCCCCAACACTGAAGTATCCGCAACCACCCTAGGTCTTTATAAACCACCTTCATAAAGACCTGGGCTAAACTGAGTGACCATAAAGGAGCAGAAGAGAAGCAAGAGAATATGGAAAAATATAACTTGTCAGAAAAAGTTACTCATATAGCAGGTAAATGACAACAAATGAAATACAGTATCTCCCATCCTGTGACAAGCATTTACATTACTCACTTGTTCACACTATGGTCTTGTCTAAACTATCTACTATTTTCATATCATGTTATGTTGTTAAAATTTTGGCATTAAAACAACATTTTATAATTGCAGAAATTTCATCTCAGATTAGGCTCAAAGACAGACTAGATTAACTACCAGTTTTCAAGGGAAAATAATAAATCTACCCACTAAAGAGGGTGAAATATTTCATACATTAACTTCACATGGGTTTTGAAGAGAACTAAGGCCGGGCGCAGTGGCTCACGCCTGTAATCTCAAGCACTTTGGGAGAGTGAAGTGGGTGGATCACGAGATCAGGAGATACAGGCCATCCTGGCTAACGAGGTGAAACCCCGTCTCTACTAAAAATACAAAAAATTAGCCAGGCATGGTGGCCTGCATCTGTAGTCCCAGCTACTCAGGAGGCTGAGGCAGGAGAATTGCCTGAACTCGGGAGGCGGAGGTTGTGCCACTGCACTCCAGTCGGGGTGACAGAGTGATTCTCCATCTCGAAAAAAAAAAAAAAAGAGAGAGAGAACTAAAAAGTCATTACCACAACACCTTATTTATGCCTACACTGATAGAAGGAGAATGATACAGATCAACTCACATCTTTGGGTTCTGTGTTAAACTTCCTGGGCAGGAGCTGGTCATTTGGTATGAGGCTTGCTGTAGCTACTCCCCAGGACTTTGGAGAAATCTGTGACTGTGATGTTAAAGAGTGTTTTTGACTCTCAACATTGTTTTCCCAGGATTTTGGAGTCTCTGGCTGTTTTGAATCCTGTTCTTCACACATGGGAGTGGTCCATGACTTGGTGGTGTTCTGTTCACTCTGCACAGAAGGTGTCCAAGACTTTGGAGTTTGCTTCTTTGGATCTTGTTCTTTCTGCAGCTGAGCTGGCCACAGCTTTGGTGTCTCCTGCTTCTTTTGTTCCTCTTGAACATATCCTGCTTTGGATTTAGGTGTTTCTTGCTTCCACTGGCTAGGAGATGGCTTGGATTTGGAGATCTCCTGCTTCTTCTGCTCTTCTGGCAGAGTAGACCTGAGTTTTGAGGTGTCTTGTTTCCTCTGTTCTAAGGAAACTGCAGGCTTGGATACCTCCTGGTGCTTACCAGGAGATTCCCAGGACTTAAAGGATTCCTGTTTCTTCTCTTGACCATCTGGTTCAGTAAGCATATCCCAACGTTTTGGGAGATTTGGTTTTCTAGCATAATCTGCTTCCCAAGGTTGCTCCTCGCCTTGTTTGTTTGAATAATCTACTTCTGTCATATAGCGTCTGTTAAGAAACTAGATAGAGAAACAATGCACTTAAGTCACAAAATTCATAGAAGACCTTGAAGCAAATATTCAACTCTATTAGTATTGCTATGTCCACTGATCTAAGTTGTTGCACTAATATGAAATTTCTGTCCTTATTCTACTTGAAAAGACTTTCCTACTTCTCTTTCCTACTTTTCTGTCCATTCTTTTTTCCTCAATTAACAGAAATACAGACTTCGCTACTTCAAAAGTAGCAATTTCTGTTTGACTTGCCTAAGACTGGCAACAATTGCTTGATTCGGACTCTTCTACCAAGGCTGTTCTGCCTTTGCCAGCCTTAGGACCCTTCTCCTGAGGTGACTCCCTCAAACATTAAAAGGCAGACGATAGTTCAACTTCAAAGTTAAATTATGTAACCTTAAACCTTACATTTCCTAAGCTACCAGTGTTTTCTTTATTTCCCCTATACATCAATTACACTGTTTTTGAATCTCCCGTTCTTTTCAGCTTCCCATGAATTTCAATGTCACTTCAGAAAGAGAATAAATACCCTTTTCTGCTACCAATGTGAGTAAATTCTGGAGACGGCAAAGTCCCGTGCATCTTAAAGTTCCTCTAACACAGGAGCCAAAAATAGCTAACATTTGGGCAGTCAGTGTGCCAGGTCAAATTCTAAGTAATTTAGAATTTAGATCAACCTCTTTAATCCTCACAATAACCCCATGAATTAGACATTATCATTATCCCTATTTTACATATGAGGAATAACAGACACAGCTGGACCAGACTTCTTGCCCAAAGTCCCTAAGCTAGTAAACTGCAGAACCAGGGTTCAAGCTCGGGCAGTCTGGCTCTAGAGCCTTAGCTTCCAACCACAACCCTATACAAAAGGCTGAAAAATCAACATCAGCAAATTGTCCTTCAGTATCTTACCTCTTGTGGTTGTATCTCTGGCTGGGCAAATTCCATTAGAGACTCTGGGATGAAAAAAAGAATTCGAATAAACACTACGGGAACTATAAGTTTTTAGACAGATTACAACTATAATTCATTCTAGAAACATATTTCAGAAGACTCATAACAGAAAAAGGGCAATACGATCAAGTATATTGATGGCAAGAGGAATTCTATTGCTTGTTAGTCCAAAGCATGTGGTCTAAGGCTAGTTCAAACTAGTAGCTCTCCTTATGTAAGACACTTCACAACAGTCAAGTTTCAGTTTCAAACTGATATCTGATTGAAAATAAGACTATTTCCTCTTACCCTAAAACACAGTTTTTTCAAGTTAGCATTATAGCTCATGTCCCATGGGGTAAAAATTGGTCATCTCAGCTTGAAATAGAGCCCTTAAAAACCTCTTACAAGCCAGCTTAAGGTTAGGAGGGGATAAGAGAGTGGAGATACTTAAGTACTGGACTTTGTATTAAGAACTAAGGGGAAATAAACATGGAAAATGGTTTGACTCTTGCTTATGGCTACCAGAACCCTGCCTGGACTACCTCCTTAGAAGAGATAGTTAATAAATCCAAGTTTGGTAAACAAAAGCAAAAGTGCCATTTGCTCAAAATATTTATTCCCCAGGCAAATGGTAATTTTAAAAGTATATTTTCTTTACTGACTTTAGCACTTTTTTCCCCTGAATCGATATTTCAACCTTAGGTTAATTACATCCTCATTCTACTACAGTATTGGATTCTACCATAACTTTCACTGTAAACAATTTTAAACAGAATTATCCCACTAGTAGTTTAACAGAGAAGTTTACTGAAATTCCATAAATGCCTCCTTTTAACCAATGTATTCTTTTGGGACAAAGTACAAACTAATATTTCTAATAAGATTCACTCTGTAAATCATGGTGATAAAGCCTACAGATGTTTTATAAACCTAGGTTTATCCTGCAGTAAGTAAAGATTTCCATGCATGTAGAACCTTACAAATTAAAATAAGGCAATCATTGTACAATATGTGACTCATTTGGGGTATTAAAAAATGCAACCACTATAAGGATTTTCAGAGGTCACAACAAACCTGACTCTTTGACAGATTCAGTCTTCGATAATTGTGTTTTTTTCTCTGATTGTATTAGCATTTCATCCTCCAGTGGTACTTCTTTTTCCTTGGCATTTTTGGGAACTGGGATACTTTCAAAATAGCCTGAGTTCAGCAATTTAGACAGTAGATCTTTCAAGTGTTTGTCTAAGAAAGAGTGATTAAGACTTAGTTGTCACATGACCTCACTGAAAATTACTGGGAAATCCTAATTTTATCCTAGTTGTAGTACATCGTTACAATAGTTTACATTGATGTACACAATACATCGTTACAATAGTTTACAACAGTTTACATTTTCATGGTACTGACTGGAGAACTTATCAGTACCGTGAAAAGTAAATATGCAGTCCATCTTTATTTTATGCTGAATCAATACGAATTTTAACAAGATCAGAATCTCAAAAGTTCAGCAAGTCACTTTAGTTTCTCTGGACCTCCATTTCCACCATTTGAAAAATGACTAAAAATCAGAGACCCTAATCAAATATGTCACAAAAGCATACATCTATTCTCTGAGATGAGAAATAAATCATTTTTCCTATCTGCTCTCAAGACATCACAACTAGCAACCACTCTATCTTCCCCAAATAATTAAGGCTTTAGAGAAGTAAAAGTCAGTTCCTCAAAATCTATCTATTAGGTTGGGTTAGAAAGTCCTATATTGGACAATCTCTATTAGATTACTAATATTATTCATCTATTTTAGAAAACCCTATCTTGTACAAACTCTGAAGTATTTTTAAACTACAAAATTCCATCATGAAGATTTTACTCGAGTTACGCTGTTTGTCATTCCTACCACCTGACCATTTGATGATCAAGAAAAACCTTAAAATGATGCTGAAGTCACTACACTACAAATAGGTCTAAAGTCATTTTATTTGAATATCCATTAAAAACATAATCCCAAACTAAGCAGAGTTTCCGTACTTCATTTGAGTATATTATTCCTTTCATAGGAGTACTATGACATAGATTTTGTCTTTAAAAAAAAAATCAGCTTTCAGATATAATTTACAGGCAAAATTATCCTATCTTAACTGTACAGTTTTAACAGATATTTAGTTGTGTTACCACCAGAATCATGATACAGAGGATTTTCATCAACCCAAGAAGTTCCTTACTACCCCTTTTGCAATTAATCTCCTCCCCTGACCCCCTGAAAATCAATAACCTGCTATCATTCCATTATGTCTTTTTTAGAATTTCATATAAGTGAAATCATACAATATGCACTCATTTTATGTCTGGCTTCTTTCACTCAGCATAATTATTTTGAGATTCATCCATGTTGTTACATGTATCAACAGCTCTGTCCCTTTTTTATTGGTGAGTAGATTCCACCGTATGGGTATACCACATTTTATCGATTTATCAGCTGAATAAAGCTAATATGAACATTCATGTACAAGTACTTACATGAACACGTCTTCATTTATCTTAGGTACTAGAAGACCAATTGCTTCGTGTTATAAGTGTGTGCTTCATTTTATTAAAATATTGCCAAACTATTTTCTAAACTCATTTTGCATTCTAACCAAGAAATAAACTTTTAATTTTGATTTAAGCTTGAACGAACTTAGAAATCTTAAGATAGTTACAGATACTTGGATTTTTTTTTTTTTTCAACGAAGCAATCACTGGTAACAAAAATATTTACTACCTTCTAGTGAGTTTTCATTACTCTAAGCTAGTACACAAAGCTATGTACTTCATGTCCAGTCATTTGTATTTGGTCATTTGGCCAAAATCTATTTAGCAAGCCAAAAGAACTGTCTTTCCACAGACCACTTCCGGATCAATAGACAACAATGTTTCAATAGACTATAAAACCATTCATACATTCTTAGGCTGATCTAGTAGATAAGCCTCGATTATTAACACTGTGTGAACTTAAGATTCTTAAATAGAACAGGTACTACCACACAGAATAGAAAACTGAACCCCAAAATGATCAAGCTAGTGTTGAAGCCAGCACTTAGCTCTATTGCCAAATCATATTGACTTGCCACTTCAAAACTCTCCCTGAATTCCATTTTAGTGACTAGGGTTATACAATAGCTGCTTTTAACAGAACTAAACAAAGGGATCATTCTCCCAATGAATATACTATTGTCAGACATGTAAGTTCTGATGGACTGACACAGTTTAGACCCTCAATATCATACTAAACTTCTAGACATAAAGTTTAGTATTTACTGCATAAGTCCAGAGTAGAGAAAACTCACATGTCGTTCCTACCACTGCTTTCTCACTACCTTCCAAAAGGTCCCAAAAGTACAAGGATGACTGCTCCATCTGGTCTTCAACACTGACAAGGAAAAGCAGCAGCAGAACAAAGTGGCTTTAGAAGTACATATATATGGAGCAGCACAATTTATGCAATATAACCCATTAACAGACAAGACATTCAAATGTTAATTTTGTCTTTTTGCTCTTTGGAAATAAAAAAAAATTGAAATGTATACACGGTGACTAAATGCCTGCTCAAGGATTTCAAATGTGAGAATTTTTCCTTAAAACAACTAAAATATGGATTTTAGCAAATAAAACTATTAAAGAATAGACCAAAAAGAGTTTAAAGCTGCCAATGTAGTATCATTAGTTCAGGTGTATGCCCTAGATAAAAGAACACTGGAATAGAAATATTAAGAGCCACATTTGACTTTAAAGAAAGCAGCTTATTTAACAAGTTATGTTTTGCTTACATTTCATATATTAAAGTGAAGCTACATTCCCTGAACCCACAAAAGCAAAGAAAGCAATGTACAGATGATGATGATGGAGTAGACTATCAGCATGAGAATTTAAAAATATATGGCTATACATAGGCAATTAAGAGTTCTATTAGGTTTCTCTCTGATCAGAGACTGACTTCTAGTAACTGTTGAAATCTGACTGTACTTTAGTATGGCTAACAAATACAAAGCTGGAATAGCCTGCATCTAACAGAGCAAGAGCAAAGCATCTGTCCCCTAGCTGATTTACTCCATCAAAACAAAAAGAGCAGTGGATCACTGTGAGGGAAAAAAATCAGACAGCCCCAATTTGCAGGCTTTATATTTTAAACTATCAAATGTATTTCTCACTAGTTATTCACAGCATAATAAGAACACCAAATAATTCTTACTTTGAAAGTTTAATGATACCGGCCACATTAAATATTATTTACCTCTACTTAAGTATAGCAGAAGAAAGAAGGCAACTCTGAAAAAATTATTTTAAAAGTTTTAGAAATAGATATAATATTATACTTGTACAGGATTAAAATTTGATGCTCAGACATTTTTTTAAAAATCAGTATTACAATAAAGAAGCATGTTAATGAGACCATTCAAATTCACTTTCCTTTCAGACAATCTGTCAACCCTGTCAGAGTCTGGGCCAGCCAAAGTTTCCATATTGAATCAAATTAATACTTTCTTAATTTCTCTCTCCCCCTCTCTAACACACGCGCGCACACACACACACTGCTAAAAAGCTAAAGTGTCAAGCGCTTCATTTCAGGAAAATCTTTTCATTAGCTTACCTCAGACTTTCATTTCTTTCAGGGCAGGTCAGTTTTGAAAACTTAATGAGGTAGTCAAGTTCTTTTGAAGGCAAATACACTGCACCATTCAAACCTCCTTTGAAGTCTTTTTGTACGTGTTCCTGTGTCAAGTTCTGCAATACATACTGAACTTGAAGTATAGTTCGAAGCTTTTTCTTCTCAGCCTCAAGTTTTAGCATGTGCTCCCGTCTCTGCGCCTTCTTCTGCGCTTTTAGTAGCTGTTAAAACAAATGGCTAATTAAGGGTAACAATTCTCTACCATCCCATGTTAGAAATACGTGTTCTACAAAGTCTAAACCCAAATAGCTGAGATTAGATGATAAATCTTATGACTGTCAAACTATCAGTTTAGCCTGTCTCCTTTTTGAGCTAAAGAAGTCACTGAGTAATAAACTGGTTTGTCTCAGGTAACTGGAGCCAAGGGGGTCAAATATCTGACTCCCAAATCCAGGATATGTCTAGTACTGCTAATATCACCATGATGAGCAGTGAAGTACCAATCACTGACGTCCATATTCATTTCAACATTTTACTCTTTCACGTTTATGTATATCAGTCCTTTTTGGACCTTTTAGGATTTTTATTTTCATTTCATATTCCAGGGGAAAATATATTTGAACTAAAAAGGTCAATTTTCAATCAACCAAAGACGACTGGCTAAAGCATAAGGAACTGAAAAGCTAATGGACATAAAATGTCTTCCAAGTGTAATGCCAAAAATCAGCCACAGCAAACATGCTATTTTTGTTTAAGAAGTAAAATTAAAAAATTTTTAAATAATAATTTGCCCTGTCAGTCTGGACCGAGCTATATCCTCCAATATTTAGCTGACAAAACAGATATAGAAAATAAATGGAGCTTAAGTTTTCCCTCAGGCCAGGCACAATGGTACACACCTGTAATCCTAGCCCTTTGGGAGGCCGAGGAGGGTGAATCACTTGACCCCAGGAATTCAAGACCAGCCTGGGCAACATGGCAAAACCCCATCTCTACAAAAAATACAAAAATTATCTGGGCATGGTGGTGTGTGTCTGTAGTCTCAGCTACTCAGGAGGCTGTGGTAGACAGATCGCTTGAGCCCAGGAGGTCAAGGCTGCAGTGAGCGGTGACGGTGCTACTACACTCCAGCCTGGGCAACAAAGTGAGATCCTGTCCCCCACCAAAAAAAAAAAAAAAAAGTTTCCCCTCCAACAATGTGTGTATATAGATTGAGCAGCCCTAGATCTACTCTAAAGCTTAGAACTATAACACCTTGAAGTCTGACATAATGTTCATGGGTCCCAGAAAGGACTTGCCACTTAACTAAAAAGTACTATTCTGGACTTGCCATTTAACTAAAAAGTACTATCTGTTTCCATTAAGAAACCTAAAAAGTCTTTTCCCTCCATAGTTTTTCTGATTGTAACGTTTCCGTCATATTGGATATTTCGCAAGGTATGAAGATTAAAATACAAAAAAAAAAAAAAAAACCTAAGATTTTTTTCTATAGACTGGTCAAAGTACTTTGATATAGCATCAATATTTTAAATTACATAAAAGAGATGTTCATAAATCCTAACACATTAAAATTAGGGGGGGGAAATCTCATGAAAAAGATTCACTGTGGCATAATTAATCCCTTCCTAGGGGATGTGGAAGCAACTTTTGATTTGTGCTACTGCTAGGGGCAGAAAGATAGTAAGTGAAGATAAAATTTTGAGAATGAGAAATAGACTGGTTGAAGGTTGCATGAGCAAGCACATTTTCTCAGATGGGAATGGCTCAGTAAGGCTTTTTCCAAGACCTCAGTATAGACTGCATCAATAACACTTACCAAAACTATAGGATTCTCTGATCCTGCTTGAGAGAAGGAAAGAGGATGGAGGTGGCACTCCTAGCTCTCCAAGACACTGGGATTCTCTTGGACAGAGTTTCATCATGGTATAAGCAAAAGCAACTGATTCGCAGGGCATCTTCAGACAATTATACCACATGATTATCTCAGATTTATCTTTGGCCAGTCTCCCAAGGTAGGACTGGGTGGTCGTATGGGCTCATGCCACCTTGAACTTCCCCTATCAAAGTATTTTTGGGTTTTTTGTTTGTTTTTGAGACAGAGTGTCATTATGCCATCCAGCCTGGGGTGCAGTGGCACAACCAAGGTTCACTGCAGCTTCGACCTCTTGTGCTCAAGTAATCCTCCCACCTCAGCCTCCTGAATAGCTGGAACCACAGGTACATGTCACCATACCTGGCTAATTGTTTTTTTTATTTTTTATTTTTATAGAGATGAAGTCTCCCTATGTTGCCCAGGCTGGTCTCGAACTCCTGAACTCAAGCAATCCTCCTCCCAAAGGGCTAGGGTTACAGACGTAAGCCACCATCCCTGGCTATTTTTTATTTATCTGTGTCCACGATGACAGGGACTACATCTACTGTTCACCAATATTCACTAATGCTCAGCACAGAGTCTGACAAATATGAGGGCCTCAAATTTTTGTTGAATAAAATCAAGTAACAAGAAAGTCTCCCAGATCACAATCAGGTGTCATGAAAAGCCACGGACGAGAGCCAATTTCTCCTTCTTTAGATGAAAATTAGAAAGGTAAGTTACATTGTTCTCTTTTTCCAGTTAAGGACCAGTTTGGAAAGGAAAACAGAAGAAGTAAACCACTCTTAATCAGTAGTACGATAAAATTGGTAACTTGGTTTTCTGTGTGTGTGTTTGTTTTTTTTTTTTGAGACGGAGTCTCACTCTGTCACCCAGGCCAGAGTGCAGTGGCGTGATCTCAGCTCACTGCAAGCTCTGCCTCCTGGGTTCATGCCATTCTCCTGCCTCAGCCTCCCGAGTAGCTGGGACTACAGGCGCCCACCGCCACGCCCAGCTAATTTTTTGTATTTTTAGTGGAGTCACGGTTTCACCATGTTAGCCAGGATGGTCTGGATCTCCTGACTTCGTGATCCTCCTGCCTCAGCCTCCCAAAGTGCTGGGATTACAGGCGTGAGCCACTGCGCCTGGCCAATAAAATTGGTTTTCTTAATCGAGACTCAGAATGATGAATCCCTACCAGGGGACAAAACTCATGAGGACAAAGCAGAATGTGACAAGGTCGAAAAGAAGGACTTCCAACTTTACTTTGAAGGGAAAAAAGAAAACATTCCACAAACTGCAAAACTGGCTATCATAGAACATGTCTGACAAAAGAAAAACTTAAAAGAGGAGCCCAAAAATTACCACAAAAAAAAAAAAAACTCAAAAGTACTGCCAAGCACCTTTTAGGGTCTTGATTCAGTAAGACAACCTCCAAAGTACTTTCTCATGTCACCTAAAATGAAAGTAAATCTCAAACACAGGCAAGTAAAAATAATTTCATGGATATTAACAAAATTTGGTGAGTTGGGAGCTACCTCTAGACTACAGCAGAAAAACACACAAACACACACACACACACACACACACACACACACAAGACACTATCTTCATGGTATAGAGAAAAAGTACCTAGGGCCATATCTTGGCTCTACCACTTACTGGCCATATGACTTTGAATAAGTTCCTTTTACTTAAATGTAAAACCTGAAACTATAAAAATCCTGTAAGATAACCTAGAAAATACCACTCTGAATATAGGAACTGGCAAAGATTTCGTAACAAATATGCCAAAAGTAATCACAACAAAAGCAAAAACTGACAAGTTAGATCTAATTAAACTTAAGAACTTCTATACAACAAAAGAAACCATGAACAGAGTAAACAGACAACCTACAGAACGGGAGAAAACTTCTGCAAACTATGCATCTGACAAAGATCTAATATCCAGTATCTATAAGGAAGTTAAATAAATTTATAAGAAAAATAAACATTAAAAAATGGGTAAAGGACATAAATAGATACTTTTCAAAAGAAGACATACATGTGGCCAAAAAGCATATGAAAAAAAGCTCAACATCACTGATCATTAGAAAAATGCAAATGAAAACCACAATGAGATGCCATCTCACACCAGTCAGAATGGCTATTGTTAAAAAATTTATAAATGACAGATGCTGGCAAGGTTGCAGAGAAAAGGGAATGCTTACATAATGTTGATAAGAGTGTAAATTAGTTCAACCATTGTGAAAAGCAGTGTGGCGATTCCTCAAAGAGCTAAAACCAGAACCACCATTTGACCCAACAATCCCATTACTGGGTATACATCCAAAGGAATATAAATCATTCTACCATACACGCGTATGTTCATTACAGCACTATTCCCAATAGCAAAGACATGGAATCAATCTAAATGCCCATCAATGATAGACTAGATAAAGAAAACGTGGTACATATACACCATGGAATACCATGCAGTCATAAAAAAAGAACAAGATCATGTCCTTTCCAGGAACATGGATGGAGTTGGAGGCTATTATCCTTCGCAAACTAACACAGGAATAGAAACCAAATACCACATGTTCTCATGTATAAGTGGGGGCTAAATAATGAGAACACATGGACACATATAGGGGAACAACACACACTGGAGCCACTTGAGGGTGAAGGTAAAAGGAGGGATAGGATTAGAAAAAATAACTATTAGGTACAAGGCTTAGTACCTGGGTGACAAAATAATCTAAACAACAAATCCCCATGACGTGAGTTTACCTTTATAACAAACCTGCACATATACCCCTAAACCTAAAATAAAAGTTTTCTTAAAAAGAAGAATAAGTCGCGCATGTAATCCCAGCTACTTGGGAGGCTGAGGCAGAAGAATCGCATGAACCCAGAAGGCGGAGGTTGCAGTGAGCCGAGATTGCGCCATTGCACTCCAGCCTGGGCGACAGGACGAGACTCCGTCTCAAAAAAGAAAAAAAAAAAAAAAGATTCCTGATGTGTAAAATCGGACTATTTACAGCAACTTCCCAGACTATTGTAAAAATCAAGTGGAACCACATAGGTGCCTGGTACAAGGTAGGCATCGTTTAATTTTTAATCTAAAAAGAAAAGAATACATTAGAAAAATACAGACCTGAATGAAAAACTAAATTGTTATTGGGTAACTCTGAGTAAAGACAGAAGACAGAAAATTTTAAACATCATAAAAGTATACTTCTAACTATATTTGTAATCCTTCTTAGCCAAGAATTAAGATGGTAAATGTCTCCAGCCTAAAATAATTTTTTTGATTCCAGAGGAATGGAGAAGAGAATTTTAGTTCACTATAAAGAAAAATAGGCCAGGGCGATTGCTCACATCTGTAATCCCAGCATTTTGGGAGGCCAAGGCAGGAAGATCCCTTTAGTCCAGGATTATAAGCCTGCAGTGAACTACGATCACACCACTGCATCCAGGCTGGGTGAGAGAGCGAGACCTTGTCTCTAAAATACAATAAAAAACATATATAATTTTTTTAATGAAAATATCCAAAAAAAATAGAAGAGATTATCTTATGAGGCATGCTCTCCACTCCAGGAATGAATTTATTTAAAGATTTCTGCAATTGTTAGAACATGACCTTTAAAGGATCTTCTAATGCTAAGATTTGAAAAAGTAAAGAATACTTCATTGAGAAGTGTTTAAGACTTCATATTACTGATTAAATTTGTCAGAGATAAAAGTTTGAACTGCCAACATAGAGAACCTAACAAGTAGTGGGGCCAGATTTAACTCTATTTAATGTGAGTCATTAATTTTCCCATTAATAATTTTCATGCTTTCAAGACTACCAACTCTGGCGTCTCGTATGTTAAATAATGTGAAAGAAGCCTATCTTATATAAATTTACAAGCCTATATTCTAAAATATCTTTAATAAATATACCTTGTCAAAAGTTTGATTCCCTTTCTCAATGATTTCTATAATTCTATAATTAAATAACATACATTAGATAACTAATGCTTTATTCACAATGTCTCATATTCAGATGCCATTTGTGTTCTCCCTTGAGACTACAGAAATCTGAAAAAAAACTAGTTCTCCAACAGTTATCCTCAACCCTCCATCCCAATAAAATATCAGCAGAAATTAGATGAAGAATAACCAAACACCATTATTAGACACTGACACACTTGACATTTTCTCCAAGATCAATGGTTAAAACTGGTTTCAGGAAAAGCAAAGAAAACATACTCACATCTAGGCTCAACCCAGAAAAGGTTTTCTGAAGCTCCTTGGCAAATTCCAAATTATGCAGCACTTCTTCATATTTCTCTACTGCTTCCTACCAAATAGGATAAGAAAACATCAATTTTGTGACTGTTTAAGTATAAATATGTGAAAATAAGTGTTTCTTAAACACAGAAGAGGTTTAAGACCTTATCGCTATTTACTATACATACACAAAAAAGTACTTGCCTAAAGAAAAAGAAGAAAGAGTATTAATACAAGTTATATTAAGTTGCATTTAAAAATTCAATTCTAATGCCAGAAATTCAATTTTTATATTAGAAATGAGTCCCAATTTTACCCCTATAAAGTCTAAGATCAGAAAGGCCTGTTGGTTTTAATAGCACTGAGCCAATAGGATTTCTCTGTTAATATTCATTCACTACTCAAACATATTACACAAATAGCACAGTGAGTATCAAACAGATGAACAACCAACTTCAAGACATTTATAATATGGTGGAAAGACTTAGAATAATTACCTATAACAGACAAAAATAAATATTATAACAAACAATATGCAATGTCCTACAGGAAATTTAAAGGAGCAAAAATTTTTTTAAAGATTTCCCAGATGAGCAACACTGACAGAAAAGAGGGGGGGCATTTCATGGGACTTTAACTCAAATCTATATGGAAAGAGAAAGGACCAATCTGAAACAGAACAAGGTGGAGAACCTGCACAACCAGATACATATTATAAAGCCTCAGTAATTAAAATAGTAAAGTATTACACTCCAAGGTATCTACCCAAAAGAAATGAAAACATGTCCACATAAAGACTTGTATATAAATGTATACAGCAGCGTAATATCCCAAAATGAAAACAATCCAAATATCCAGCAACCGGTAAGTGGATAAACAAAATGGGTACACATATACAATGGAATACTAGTCAGCAACAGAAAAAAATGAAATACTGGTATATGCTATATAACATGGATAAACCTCAAAAATATTATGCTAAGTAAAAGAAGCAAGATGCCGAAGACTATTTTACGTGAAATGTCCAGAAAAGACAAATTTATAAAGCTAGAAAGTAAATCAGAGCACAAAAGAGAACCTTGAGGGGATGATAGGAATACTCTACAATGAGACTGTGCTAACAAGCTCGATAACTCTACAAATTTACTATAAACAAATGTATGCTTAGAATGGGTTTACTTTGTGTTAAGTACATTATACCTCAATAATGTTGAAAAAATAGACTAATATTAAGTCTTTATAAAACTATAGAATAGGCCTTCCTATGTAATAATACCAGTATTAGTATAAATTGGTACAATAATTTTGGAAAACAGTTCAGTATTTTCACCTATGAAGTTAATCATAAGCATGTCCTACAGCCTAATGATATACCCTGAAAAAAAAAAATCTTACCCCTGATTCTCAGTAACACCTAAAATACTCCTCAAAGTAAAATTCTTTATAGCGACGACCAAAAAAAAAAAAAAAAAAACCTCAAGCATCCATCTATTTACAGACTAAAATTAAGTAGAGAGAACCAAATAAAATACAGGCACTTGCATTGATATAAAAACACTAAATATAATGAGTGAAAAAAGCAAACTGCAGAACATATAGCATGATACCACTTACTATAATGTACAAAAAAAGCAACTCTAACAGGGCAGCCAAAAAAAAAAAAAAGCTCTTAAAAGCAAGGGAAAACTTCAGGGTCATGGGGTCATGGTTACAGGAAACAGAAAGTACCACACTAGAAAGGAGCCCCAACACTGTTAGAAACATACTATTTGAGTTGAGAGTTGGGTTCTGGTGCTTGCTTTATTATGTGTTATAACTTACATGGAATATATTGTTTCAGCCATATATTTTATAATAAAAAGGTATAGAAGTCTTCCTGCTACAGAAACAAGAATGAGCAGATAACATTACCAGGATATGCAGTCCTCAGAGGGATGTAAAACTATAAAGAAATATTCCTCCATATCTACTCCCAAATGTTACTAACTTTGACTCAAGAAAAGCAGCATCAGCTGGGAACTACAACTTTCCATCATCTAATGTAGACCTATCCTTTCATTTTTCCTTTCTTTACTAAGTGAAGAAGGTATCCCCTTGCCACCCCCACTTCTACCTGTGCCCTGGATCCTACTGAACTCTGCCTTCATACAAAACTTTCCTTTAGGATTCCCCCTTTAAGGTCTTCTAACAGAGAGCTGCTCCCTCTCTATTGATGCTTAAGTCATCATTTTACAAGTTCATGTCATCCCCAATCTAAACAAGAAAAATTAATTCTTCTGTGACAACTACTTCCCTCCAGCATTACACAAATTCAAATGTGTTTTCAGTCTCCAGTTCTTCAGACCTCATCAACCTGCATTCCATTTCCACCAAAACTGTTTTAGCTGAAGTTAGCAATTGTCGATGTCATCCTTTAAAGCTATACATCTTTTATAGCTCTCATTTTGGTTGACTTAGCAGCAGCCTTCAACAAGAAGGCACACTCCTGCTCTACAGACATTTCTTGCTTTTCCTAACACTAAACTTCCATTTTTCCAGCTGCTTATTTACTAGCAATTTTTCCATTAGCTTCTCTCACCTGTTTTTAGCACCTGTAAAATAGGAGTAATAGAATCTACCTCACAAAGATGCTGCACAATCTAAATGATTGCATATGTATAAAACACTCAAATGATGCCTGATTCTAGTAAGTACACCGTATTTTTAGCCATTATTTTCCAAACATTAAATGTCAGAGTTCCTCAGGATTCTGTCCTAGGCTTCTCTACTCTGCTTTCTATACTCTCACTTTCTATACTTTCTATACTCTCATCTCCTCTAATGGTTCCAAGTAGTGGTCATACAGGTGATATTTCTATCAGCTAAACTTCTCCATGCTCCAGACCCATTTACCTTAACACCTGGTACCAGACACTGATGTCTCCCAGGCACATTAAAACCAACAGTACAAAATTGAGCTCTTCATCCTACTCCATCCTCCCAAAACCTCCTTCTGCCCCAGTGGTCCCTCGTTTAATAAATGATTTTGCCATCCATCCATTGTTCAAGCAAGAAACCTGAAACCACTCTCAGCTCTACCCTCTACTCCTACATCCAGTTACCAAGCCATGCTGATTTTACCTCTCAAATCCAGCTACTCGATTCAAGTCCCTCTGCCACTGCCTTAGTAGGGCTCCCATAATCATTCACCTAGACTACAGGCAACTCTTTTCTAATTTCCTTACATCCATACGCCATCTCCAAACCATACTTCACACTGCAATCAAAGTGATTTTTTTAACTAAAAATCTGTAGTTGTTCCCTGCTTAAATATATCTGTACCATTTCTGATGTCTCTGGGAAAAAGTCATTTTCAAATGGTGCACAAAGACCTACCCCCTCCAGCTTCATCACCCATCCACATGACCTTTACAGTTTTTGAAAAAGGCTCTTTGTAAAAAACCAAAAATCTGTTCCTTCTCAGAGCCTTTACACATGCAAGCATCTGCCTAGCCTTCTGTTCTTCTTCCTCCCTCCCCCCTTTCACTGGCTAAATCTCATTCATATTTTAGGTCTTAACTAAAGTTCTTCCTTTCTTACGGAAGCTGGCCTTAACTCTCTAGACTAGGATGGATCCTGCATTACAATCTCTTTTCATCCTGTACTTCACCTTCTTAACATCCATCATATCTGTATTTGCTTATTCCCCACTCTCTTCCCCATTACATTATAGACTCCATGTGGTAATGATCACATTTGTCCCCTAGGTATTATAACCCTAATGTTAAGTACAGCACCTCCTAGAGTAGATAATATATCTTGTTGAATGAATAAAAGATAGTTCAGATGATCTTAGAGAGCATCAGATATGCTCAAGATTCTGAACAATTTAAAACTTTTGAAAGAAATATACTGAGAGCTGTTTCAAGAAAAGGACACCACAGACAATAGGACTGGTGAATTGAAGGTAGGATCTCAAGACAAGGATATCAACTAGGAAGCATATGTAAAGTTTAGGTGGCTTGCCTTGACTAGGCCAATAGCAATGGAATTACAAAAGAGGGAAGATTCTATATTATTTCTTGAGTTTACTATAGATGTATTAAATATAACACAGGATCACAGTTCAGCAACAAAAAAAAGGATACAAAATTCTAACTCTTTAACAATAAAAACTTCAGCAGAACCAAAGATATCAAGTTCCCCTTGCCTATTGCTGGAGAATTCACTTGAATCTCAGCTCTCCATTTCAAATCCAGATCTGAACCAAACATGCTGAAGTTATAAATGTAACAATTTAAATCATTCAAATTATAAAGTTACATTAAATTATTACAAGTTAAAGTGACTCCAAAAACAACTTCATTAGACATTCTTTCTATTATTTGAAAAGAGAAACCTATGTTACCAATTTAACATAAACCTTATGTAGCTTAGCCTTGACAGATCCCTTAAGAGTTACTACTTCAAAGAGCCTGCAAGAGCCATATAGAACATTACAAGTTTTATTTATATTATTATAAGTACCTGTTGAGTTAAAAAAGCAAATCAAACTAAAGTTATAAAACTTATCACAAATAATACTGAAAATACAATATCAAACCAAATACGACTGAACCAGTGCTTGAAGGAAAATTCAGTCTTCAAGAAATTTTAGAAAATTTTCACAATTTGAAAAGCACATAACCAAAAAACAAAAAAGCAGAAACATTTTTAAAAAGTGGAATAAAGTCCAAAGCTGATTTTGGGTGGCGGGGAGGAATATACCCCTAGATAATATAAGAGTAAACTGAGGAAATAAAATCACACAAAACTAGAAAATTACAACAGAAACAGGCTGTATTACACTTTTATTAAAAACTACTTGGCCCTAATCTATGCAAATGAATTTTAAAAACTGAATAAAACAGGTGATTTTCAATGAGAAGTTTTAAAAACTGATGCCAAAAGAAATCTAAACAAAATCAATTTCCAAAGAAAAAAATATAGAATATTTTCAAAGAGCTCCCTCCCCAAAGAGAACCAGGCACAGACGGTTTCACACAATAATCCAACCAAACTTTAAAGACTATGTATAGTAGAAACACTGCCACAGTATTAAAACAACAACGAAAGAAGTGGTGAGTGAGGAGATGGAGCACAGAGAATTTTTAGGGCAGTGAAACTATTCTGTACGGCATTACAATGGTGGATCCATTTGCATTTAACAAAACCCATAGAGCTGGGTGCTGTGACTCACGCCTGTAATCCCAGCTACTCAGGAGGCTAAGAGGGTCGCTTGAGCCCAAGAGTTCAAGGCTGCAATGAGCTATGAGATTGTGCCATTGTACTCCAGTCTGGTGAGAGAGAGACCCTGTCTCTTAAAAACAAACACATACCAACAAAAACCACAGAATGTACAGCATCAAGAGTGAACCCTAATGTAAACTCTAAACTACGAACTTTGGGTGATGATGATAATGCATCAACGTAGATTCATAGAAAGTAAAACATGTATTTCTCTGATGAGAGATGTTTACAGTGGAAGAGGTTGAGCTTGTGGGGGGTGAAAGTGCTACTCCAGTGAATGCATGAATAATAAGCAAACAAATGCTATTGCTGATGTGCACAAGATTTGAGTGGTATTCCCTTAAGTCAAAACCTAGTCGAGAACAAGACCCTAACTCTCTTATTCGGTGAAGGCTGAGAGAGTGAGGAAGCTGCAGAAGAAAAATTGGGAGCTAGCGGAAGCTGGTTAATGAGGTTTAAGGAAAGAAGCCATCTCCATCACATAAAAGAACAAGATGAAGCAACAAGGGCTAATGTAGAAGCTGCATCAAGTTAGCCAGAAAATCTAGCTAAAAGCTCACTACACTAAACAACAGAGTTTTAATGTAGACGCAAGAGTCTTCTATTGGAAGAAGGTGCCATCTAGGACTTCCATAACTAGAGATAAGAAGTCAATGCCTGGCTTCAAAGCTTCAAAAGACATGCTGACTCTCTTGCTAGGGTCTAATGCAGCTGATGACTTTAAGTTAAGGCCAATACTCATTTACAATTCTGAAAATCCTAGGACCCTGAAGAATTATGCTAAGTCTACTCTGTGCTTTACAAACAAAATAACAAAGCCTGGATGATAGCACACCTTCTTACAGCACTGTTGACTGAATATTTTAAGCCCACTGTTGAGACCTACTGTCCAGAAAAAGAAGATTTCTTTCAAAATATTACTGCTCATTGACAATGCACCTTGTCACCCAAGAGCTGTGACAGAAATATACAAAGGAATCAATGTTGTTTTCATGTCTGATAACATAACATACATTCCACGGTCCATGGATCAAGGAGTAATTTTTACTTTCATGTCTTAAGATATACATTGGTCCGGGTGTGGTGGCTCATGCCTGTAATCCCAGCACTTTGGGAGGCCAAGGCAGGCAGATCACCTGAGGTCGGGATTTCAAGACCAGCCTGACCAACATGGAGAAACCCCGTCTTTACTAAAAACACAAAATTAGCTGGGCATGGTGGTGCATGCCTGTAATCCTAGCTACTCAGGAGGCTGAGGCAGGAGAATCGCTTGAACCTGGGAGGCAGAGGCTGCGGTGAGCCGAGATCGCGCCATTGTACTCCAGCCTGGGTAACAAGAGCGAAACTCCTTATCAGAAAAAAAAAAGGAAAGAAATACATTTTGAGAAGGCTATAGCTGCCATAGATAGTGATTCATCTAACAGATCTGGGCAAAATAAATTGAAAAGTTTCTGGAAAAGATTCCCCACATTTTAGATGTCATTAAGAACATTTGTGGTTCATGGGAGGATGTCAAAATATCAACATGAACAGGAGTTTGGAAAAAGCTGACTCTAACACTCACACATGACTCTGACGGGGTTCAGAACTTCAGCAGAGGAAGTAACTGCACATGTGGTGAAAATAGCAAGAGAACTAGAAGTAGAGCCTGAAGATATGACTAATTGCTGCAATCTCAGGATAAACTTTTAATAGATGACGAGCTGCTTCTTATGAATGAGCAAAGAAAGTGATTTCTTGAGATAGACTCTACTGGTAAAGATATTATGAACATTGTTGAAATGACAACAAAACCTTTAGAATTTTACATAAACTTATAGTTGATAAAGCAGCAGCAGCAGGGTTCAGAAGACTGACTCCAATTTTGAAAAAAGTCCTACTGTGGGTAAAACCCCATCTCACAGCATCACACACTACAGAGACATCTTTCATGGAAGAAAGAGTCCATCAACGTGGCTAATTTTACTGTTTTCTTTTAAGAAACTGCCACAGCCACTCCAACCTTCAGCAACCACCACCCTGATCTATCATCAGTAATCAACACTGAGGTAACACCCTCGTCAACCAGCAAAAAGATTACAACTCCCTGAAGGCTCAGACGATTATTAGCATTTTTTAGCAATAATTTTTAATCAAGGTGTGTACTTTCTTTTTGACACAGTGCTACTGCACACTGAAGAGACTACAGTATAGGACAAACATAACTTTTACATGCACTGGGAAACCAAAAAATTTGTGTGACCTCCTTTTTGCAATCTTCACTTTATCGTGGTGGTCTGAAACAGAACCCACAATATCTCCGAGGTATGCCTATACTGGTAACAGTTCTCTGAAGATCTATTTTTTTCCTTCTGACTTACCTGCATTTTCTAAATTTTCTACCTTATATATTGCATGTATGAGGTGTGATTTCTCAAAAGTAGCACCAACTACATGCTTACATCTAAAGACCTAACATTCATTTTATACTTAGTAAACCTACATGTAATAAATATTTTATATACCTACTACATGCTATATTCTACACACTAGGAATACAGCAACTAACAGACAAAATCCTTACTTTCATGGAACTTACATTGTAACAGTAGGAAAGAGACAAAATAAAACTTCATAGCTTGTCAGAGAAGTGCTAACTTCTATTAAGAAAAATTAAGCAAGGAAAGGAGCTAAGAAGTGTGAAAGGGGAAGTGGTAGTGAGGTGAGAGCAGATCTCACTGTGGGTACCTTCAAATAAAAAGATGGAAGAGGTTGGGAATTGAGCCATTGAAACATCTGGAGAAAGAGCATCCCAAGCAGTAGGAAGATCATGTGCAAAAAGCCCTGCAGAAGTGTGCCTGGGATATCTGAGGGGCAGCAAGGAGGCTAGGGTAGGTAGACTGGAGCTAGCGAGGGGCAGCAAGGAGGCTAGGGTAGGTAGACTGGAGCTAGCGAGGGAAAGAGGAGCAGGTAATGGAGTCAAAATGTCAAAGGAAGTAGGAAGGATATTCTGTAGTGCTTTGTAGACACAGTAAGGACATTTTACCACCAGATGTGAACAAATGGGGACTTCTGAGCAGAGGAATAACCATCTTGATTTGCATCAGAACAGGATCACTGAATTTACTACGTTGAACAGACTTGGAGAGGGCAGAAATAGAAAAACCTGTGAGGAAGAAGTAATTACTACTGTAGTAAGTAATGCAGATGAAAGATTATACAGCCTGGATGAAGATGGCAGAAATGGTCAGTTTCCTGATTTACCTTAAAGGGAGAAGTGAGCAGACTTGCTGATGAGCTGGACGTGAGCTATGAGGAAAAAGGAGATAAATTCTCCAAGATTTTTGGCAACTCCTTCTAGTTGATCAAGCCATCAACTCACACAGCTAAGATTAGAGGAGAAGCAGATTTTGGGGAACAGGGAAAAATTACAAAGTGTCAGATAGGCAAATGGACACAGAAATACTGAGTTCAGAGGACTGATCTGTTGGCAATATAAATTGGGCAGTTGTCAGCATATGACTCCAGATAACAAAGTTCATACATTTATTATAGAAGCAATATGTGGCTATAAAGACAGTAATGAAATATTAAGAATGAAGGTTGCCTGGCTGGAGCAATTAATATAGCATGTTCTTAACATTTCTTAGAGAGCTACCATGGGAATGATCAATCTCCAACCCCCTCTCCCCGACGTTTCTCAAAAATAAAGAACACAACTCTAACAGGACACTTTATTCAAGAATATTTACACACACAAAAAAAAGTTTTATCACTTTAAGAGTTACTGAACACACCATGACTTCAAAACAAAGCCACGCTGAAATGCTGCATGTCCAGCTAGGTCCTCTCCCCAGCTAAGTGAGCACACCATTCGCAGAGCTCACACAATTCGAATATGTGTCTCAGCAAAATTATAACTTACTACATCACAAAAATTCTGGGTCAGTGAAGAGGAGCCACTATGGAATGGGAAAAGTCCTTGAATGCCAGTGTCTATGATGTATAGCCAAAAATTTTAGTTGAAAAACATAAAGACAAAAAGACCCACAAACAAGATCAAATAATTTTCAACTAAATGTGTCCCTTCTTAGCCAGGAGACATGATCAAGTCAAAATGGCAAACATCCACAAAGCACTGTTTCCTTTCCACATTGCAAACTCTCCTTCACAAATTACATAAAATTTGCAATTACCAGGTATATCATTGACAAGTTAACCAATGGAAAAAATGCAAGTAGCCTAATGTTTATAGTAAGTTTTTCTTTTTTTTAAAGGCCAGATATCTATCAGATAACATGCCTCCTGAGAGGCGACACTAAATCCAGGATAGAAAAGTAGGAAGAGACCATGAAAGGAATTAAGGTGAGGCAGCTAGAGAAAACTAAGGTAAGCTACAGTAAATATTCTTTCACATTTTGGAGCACAAAGATGTCAGGTTTAGAATACACCAGTGAAGAGCTGAAAGAGTATGCCCTTCTCTTCACCTTCAGTCCACTCTGGCACGTAAGTTTAATTTAAATCTATATGTTAACTCTTAGTGAGAGTCTACAATTTCACTCCTGTTTAACAATCTACACCCCCATGCATACTGTCTTCTAGTCAACAGAAAAGAAAGTCATATCTGAGATCTAACAGTAGAAACAACAAAGGCTTCTGAAACAGTTTTGAACAAACTGTGGATTTTAACTGTGTGTGTGTGCTATAAAGACTCTGGTCTCACTAAATCCATGTAGAGTTTTATTAAGAAAAGAAAACCAGCAAGTCTTACTAAAAGATCATAAGCCACTTACCAACTGGTCTGGATTAAGTTGCTCTCCACTTTTCAGGCGATCCTTATAATCTTCCAGTTTGAGCTACAAAAGAGAAACTTGTATCTACTATAGTCTGATATAAAATTCAGAAGCAAATAAACTAAATGCCAGACTTTGTCTCTAGGAAAACAAAGTCCTTGAAGCAAGCTATCAATCTGCAAGACTACCATTTTACTATAAGACATGCGGCAACTGTAGATGAGTTCCAGTCAGGGGAGAAAAAATACACAGAATCACATGAGTCTAGAATTACAAAAGTTAAGCAGTAATAAAACTATTTTCTCCTAATGACTCTATTAATAACAAACTAGACTACTTAACCCAAGGGGACTTACCTAGTAAATCATATGTCCCCAACACAGTAGTTTCTCAACAGGGGACAATCTTGTCCCCCAAAGATACCTGGCAATGTCTGGGGATATTTTTGGTTATCACAACTTGGGAGAGGGAGGGGGGTGAAGAGTGCTACTGGTATCTTGTGGTTAGAGGCCAGGGATGCTGCTAAGCATCTTAAAATGCACAGGACAGTCCTTTACAACAAGGAATTATCCAGTACAAATGTCAGTGGTGTAGAGGTTGAGAAGCCCTACTCTAATCTCATGCTTAAACTGTTAGTTCAGTTACCTGTTGAATTATGTGGCATTTTCCTAAAAGGAAACTCCTATTGGAAGTACAGAAACATAAAAGAATTCTTTTCTATCATTACAGTAGGCTCATCCTGAAGTTATTTTTCATATTATATTTGATACTTAAGGAAATTATGAAAAATAAATTGCATTTATTGGCCCCATAATAATGACATAAACCCACTAAGGTATTCTTTTTTTTTTTTTTGAGATGGAATCTCACTCTGTTGCCCAGGCTGGAGTGCAGTGTCGCGATCTTGGCACACTGCAACCTTCACCTCCCGGGTCCAACGACTCTCCTGCCTCAGCCACCTGAGTAGGTGGGATTACAAGCACCCCTGACCACGCCTGGCTAATTTTTTTTGTATTTTTAGTACAGACGGGGTTTCATGATGTTGGCCAGGTTGGTCTCGAACTCCTGACCTCAGGTGATCCACCTGCCTTGGCCTCCCAAGCGCAGGGATTACAGGTGTGATCCACCACCAGGCCCGGCCCCACTATGGTATTCTAAAAGCACTTTTTAGGCTCCTCCTGTATTGGCTTTAGTGGCAAAAATCTTTCCCAGAAGGTTGAAGGAAGTACTGGTACTATCAGATAGGTATTCAAAATTAAAGAGCTACTACAGGTAAGCTAGAGAGCATACGTATACATATATGTAGGTCCTCCACCTGAGGGAGGCTCTGTCAACAGATCCTGCTTTGACCATTTATCATATTGATGGGGAATCTGTGCTGACCTGGCACTCACCTTATCACACTTGTGATCAACTGCATGCATTAAAAAGACAAATGGTGAGAGCCACAGAGAAGCTACTAGCAACTTGCCCTTTTTACTACTTTCTTAGCTTAAAAAAGAAAAGAAAAAAAGAAAAAAGAAAAGAAATACAGTCAACCAGACTCTGAAGAGTCTCTTCACACCCCTCCATTAAAAGCAACTTTAAGGTTTCACTAGGTCTTGGCACAAAAGTATTTAAGAGCCCATAGGTCCAGACAGTTACTCAACCTCACCTGTCCAAAAGCAGAAGAGAATCACAATACAGCAAAGCAACGTGCAGTCTGTTTCACAGGCTACATGACTCAGGAAATGAGGAACGATGTAGATCTTTACAACAGCATTTTCTGTAGCTAGACTTAACTCCTGGGTCTCTTTACAAGGCTGACTACAACGCTTTCACCTAGCAATCTTAAATCCTCACTTAACAACACAAAAGTAAGTGGTAAAACATTTTCTAGTTCTACCACGGTTAAACCTTCCAATGACTGCAGCAGTAATACTGCAATATCAACTGCTGCAGAAAGTCACAAGGAAAACAAGCTAGAAAATCAGCTATTAACACATCTATGAAAAGAAACATTAATACTACATAAGGAATTAATCTGACCTAAAATAGCTAGCTCTTAAAGTATTTCAACAGCAGCATGCATAATAATTTTACTATGAAGAATATTTTTATTCAGTTGTTTTGACAAATGAAACAGAAAATGTTTAATACTTCCAACATGTAGCCCGCTTGTTTAAAGCAGCTAAACCTAAGATTAGTTAAATTTTTAGTAAAGAACACCTACGAGCTCTGAAAGAAAATTGTCAGCTCCTTAATCTTTTAAGATCACGCATATACAGAACTGGAAGAAAAAAAAAGTTACCTTCTTTTTCTCGATGTTTCTAATTTTGTGTTTAAGGCATATGAGTCCATTTTCAATATAGGTCTCATATGCTTGGGAAGGAGATGCAGCAGAACTCAGAGTAGACTGCAGGGGGCTCAAGGCCCGCTGGCTTTCCCCATGCTGACTGTGGTTCACTTGGGGCTTGGCTGACTTCATATTCCCCTCTCTTTCCTCCTCTGAATGGCCTGAAGGTGACTGGTAACCAAAAGGGGATGAAGAGAGTTGCACCATTGAAACAGATGAGGCTGAAGGTGGGGGAAAGTTAAGTATAAAATTAGGACTAGAGGGACACAGCCAGGCAATAACTTCCCTGGAAAGTCTAGACCACTCCCTTAAATTCTTTTCCACAGAAGTGAGCTCAAAACCCAGTGATGCTTCAGATACTGTACTTCCATACTACTTTTAAAGTAATTAATGCCGCTAGCCAATAAGGATAGCCTTTACGTAGGCAAAATCTCCAATATAGAGGATGTTTCCAGAAATTCGATTTTCCACATAGGGAGGAAGAACTGCAATGGCTTCACAGCTCCTTTCCTCTCGTGAGGGCAGACCACATTCTAAATAATTCCCATGGACACGTGATGACACCAAAAGAATAAGCTTCCCACACCGGGACCTAAGGCAGCCACTCAAACCTCTTTACATGATCCTCACCACCAGCCCTAACCTCAATCCTGAACGTTTGAAAGAAAATCCCAAACTCACAACATTCTTTCATAGCTCTAAGTGACCCAGCAGCTTCTTGAACAAGAATGCTAACTTCCCCAACTGCTCTGGGGCCTACAAGGCAATCCATCACTACTGGACATTCGCAGCCAGGTACTCTCTCAACCTGCAGGAACTCCGCGTTGATTCTCGGTTGTTTGGTTTAGACTAGCCTGAAACTGTTTACAGCCAACCAGTTAAAGCTCGTTCTAGCGAGCCCTTCCCCTGCCCTAACCGGTGGCCTTTGCGCACTTAGGTATCCCTCCCTCGACCTCCAAGCACCCGCGGTATCCCTTTCTCCCCGCTTAGGAGCATCCCCAAAGCAAGGACAGAACAGGCCCCATGCACGCCAGCGAGCACCTCCTCAAGTCTCCGGGCGAGCCTGCGCGAAGAGCACCTCTCCCGAGCGGCCACGGAGAGCCCTGCAGGCACCGACCCCCACCCTTCCCACAGACGCCCCGGGGACGCAGAAGCCGCTTCTGCAAGGCCCCGGGGGAGGCTGACCTGGAGGAAAACGCACGGGCCACGGGCCACGGCCCACGGGAGCCCCGCCCCGCCCAGGGGATACCAAGCCGCCCCTCCACCTCGCCGCGGCGCCGGCCGCCCAGACCTGCCCACCCTCGCCGGGTCGGCCGCCTCCCTCCGCCGCGCCGACCGAGGCCGCCGCAGCCGGACTTCACCTCCCCAGGCAGCCGAGGCCGCCGCTGCCGCAGCCCGGGCCCGCCTTCCAAAGCCGGCGGGAGGCAGGAGCGCTGCGGAGGTGGACCGGCGCCACCCCGCACTCGCGTCTCCTCCTCCTGTCTCCTCCCTCTCCCCTCCCGGTCCTCGCCCGCGGCCTCTGCGGCGCCAGGGACCCCGCCGACTCCGCCGCTCGCGCCCAGGCCCGCCCTCCGCGCCGCGCGTGGCTTTTGTAGGCCGCGCCCCGCCCCGGCTCGCTCCTCCCCCGGCCGCCCCGCCACCGCCTCCTTCCGGTGCCCCTTCCCGGCTGCAGCTGGCCGCCTGCGCCTATGGGGTGTTAGTTCCGGGCCCAGCTTGGGCTGGTGGGGTAGGTCGGGAGAGGGCGCGGTCTCATAGCCTTTGCGCAGATTGCGGGGCACCAGGTGGGGGCCCAGGCGACGCCGAACGCGGGCAGAGCGGAAACCGCGCAGCCCCGCTGGACCTCGCTGATTGCCGGCTGCACCGGTGGGTTCGCGACCTTGAACAGGTGACTCCAATAGCTCCAGGAGGGCAGCGCGCCCTTGGCGGAACTGCCAGATAAGCCGAGCTTGAGGCTGTCCTAGCCCAGTGGGCAATCGTGAAATGCAGAGGCACCTTTGCCTCTCAGATAGCATCTTTCATAGTAGGATGGGGAATAAACACCGTTTCCTTACAGGAGAATCAGCCTGTAAGAGCAGAATGCCCCAAATCGACATTGCCATAAAAACGGAGTAGGTGACTTCGCAACCTGCAATAATAGGATTGAGTTTATTCAAGCTGTATTATTTGTTCATGTGAAACACATTTATTGACTGGCACGCAGAGAAAGCTGTAAAAAAATTTTGTAAGATTACATAAAATTAAGAGAAAAGTCTGGAAATACATAAAAGTTTATTAAGGAAAGGAAGGTCTGAGACCAAACAAGAAAAGCACACACACACAGACACACTCAGCAATACTTTGCCCCAACATGTGTTTAGTTATTACACCAAGTGGAGTTTTTTAGGTCCTGTCTGTCCCTGACGCTCTGATAAAAAATATTGAGACTAGCAAGAGAACAGAGAAAATTCAGAAGAATAATCAAGGAAACAAAGGTCTAGTTTTAAAAGCCTTGGTCAACTTCACACAAAATTAATTTTAACATTACTTAATACATTTTTTGGCATCTATTATCTGTGTTCTTTTCAGTCCCTGGTGACATAACGTACCTTAATGTTGCATTTTAACTTTGAATCTGTGAATCCCGTATGTGTTCTCAAGAGTCAGATAAATACTAGATTTTCTCTTTTACTCATTGTTTATAACCAGAGAAAGAGCAGAAGATGCTGAACATGAGGAGAGGAAGGCTGTGCCTTCACCTTTGATGACACAAAAAACAGTGGCCATAATAAGAAAAAATGTGAAGGACACACTGTTGGATCAATGAGTTGACACAAAGTTACAGCACAACCTGAGTTGTAGCCCAAGCTAATGATGAATCTAAAAACCGTATTTCAGTCAAATTAGTCATGAAATGTTTGCCTTCTAATCGGCCAGGCAAAAAGGAGGCTATAAATTTTAAATTTTCTACTAAATGGATAGTCTCCTAAATGAATAAATCTATACAGATTTACTTCTCAATAAGGATTATAAAAATGGATCACAAAAGAATGCAAAAGCAAAAGTAATTAAATTTCAAGTCCAGTAAGGTACAGTCTGTATATGTATGGCGTGACATTTATAGGAGAACATACCACAGTAGATACTCCTGAAGCAATGGCTTCTGAACAAGTTACAGAGATGATTCAGATAAAAGCTTTTCTGCTAGAGGAGATCTTTAAAGTCAGTAAGTCTGGCTTACTTTGAAAGCACATGTCCCCAAAACTTTTATTTGTCAGGAGTTTGGTTTATTTTCCCCTCTCTCACTCCCTATTTTCTATAACACCGTGACTTTTCTTGCCAACTGTGAGGCAGTATTTGTGGCATGCCACCTCCAAGCTTAGCAGGGAATAACTATATTTGAAATATAAAAAGTGTTGTCTCAAATCATTGATAGAAGAATACATTCATTCATTCATTCATTCAACAGATACTTAGCACTTGCTATGTAGTAGGTGATAAGGCTATAATGGTGACTGAGACAATATAGCTTCTGCCTTCATGGAGCTGAGTGGGGGAATTCAGTAAAAGCTATAGATGTAAATGGCAAAAACGACTAAGTCAAAAAACCCGAAAGACAAAAATACTAAAGACTTTTATAATGGATGGTTCGATTTCTACAAAAACAGCAAGACTTTACATCCTTTGAAAATGTGAAGCTCTTAAATATGCACTGTCTGACAAATGTTCAATTGCTGCAGGATGGTTATGCTGTAGTCACTTAAAATTCATATAGCTTCATATTGTTGAAACTGGAAAGATCAATCCACCTAAGGATGTGAAACCTGGTAGCGTATTAGTAGAGATATGAGAAATTCTCTTAGACATATTGTTGCGGGTGATAGAAGTCTGTTTCTTATTGGCTCTACAAGACTTTGTGGATAATTGCCACCGAGACAGAGGGAGAAAGTCACCAAGAAAAATAACAATAAGGCCAAGAAAGAAAAAGACAGGGAATAGTAACATAAGGTTGTTAAAAATGTAGTACTTTCGGCCAGGCATGGTGGCTTAGGCCTGTAATCGCAGCACTTTGGGAGACCGAGGCGGGCACATCACCTGAAATCAGGAGTTCAAGACCAGCCTGGCCAACATGGCAAAACCCCGTCTCTACTAAAAATACAAAAATCAGCCGGACGTGGTGGTGCACCCCTGTAGTCCCAGCTACTTGGGACGCTGAGACAGAAGAATCACTTGAACCCAGGAGGCGAAGGTTGCAGTGAGCCAAGATTGCGCCACTGCACTCCAGCCTGGATGACAAGAGCGAAACTCTCTCTCTCAAAAAAAAAAAAATATATATATATACATATATATACACACACACACACACACACATATATAAAGTATTGTCACATACTTGCTGATTCATAGAGTATCTATTCAAATATTTGAGAAGAGAAGCTTTTTATGAAAGTAAAGAACTGAGAAATGTAGACCTCAGGTAGGAAAAGAAAACTTGCCATAATAGTTTAGAGTATTTTTAGAGAAATATCTGGTTTGTAAGATTAATATTTTGGTAGGCTTATTTTTTCATAAAATTATAATTATACATTCCTATTGGTTTTGTTGATACTGTTTTTCTGATATTGAAATTAATGCATTAATAGTGCTCCACCATTAAGTACCTTTGAAATAAAAGCTCTTTAGGAGGAGGAATAATCAGCGTAGAACTTGTGAATATGTTTCATTAAATCAATAATATCAAGCCCATAAAAATACGATTTCTGTCCAACTTTGAAGTATTGTAAAGTGTCAACAGCATGGGCTTTGGAGCCAGACACACATGGACTGGACTCTTATTCCTGCCCCTTACTAGCTGAATGCTCTTGGGCAAGTTACTGAAATTCTGTGGGCTTCAGTTTTTTCAGCTGTAAAACAGCTGATAATAAAACAGACGTAATATTACCTATTAACCGCATTGTTAAGGATTTCATTTTGTTTCTGTAAAAGCATGTGTCTAGAGACTAGGTCATGAAAACATATCCTCCACTGAGATACCTGTATTTACTGCTTTTCCCACAGTACGAAGCCCAGCATTTCTCCTAGTAGCCAAGGAGAACTAGAGAACTGTGGAATTTATGACTCAGGAATCCCACCCCCACTTATTTGAAAGATAAGGTATATAAAGCTGCTGGAAATTTGTGAGTTTTCCAAGACCTAAAGAATCTAGGTCTCCTGCCCTCTAGTGCAACATGCACTCCAGGCTGCTTCATGCCTTTCCCTTGCTGCTTCCTTGCACTAAATAAAGTATAGAAATAGGCAATTACACTTGAAGAATTGAAACCAAAAAGAATAAGTAATTCAGTGTTACAGTGTCTTCAAAGGAATTCATTCAGGAAGACATTTTTAAATATTCATATATTTTGATCCAGTAACCTTTATTTTAGGAGTCTCCCCAATCAAAATAATCAGAGATGCAAACAATCATTTATTTATGAAAATGTTAGGCACCACATTTTTTTAAGTGGTGGGAAATTGTAAACAACAATCTAGACATTCAACAATAGAGAAATGGCTAAATAATGTGACTCGAAGCCTTGAATTTTAATTCAAGTATACAAATCATCTTTTCAAAGAATATTCAATGACATCATATTATATGAAGTGAAAAAAGCACAGGATAAAACACGGTATAAAACATTTAGTAAGATTGTGATTTTGTAAAATATTTCATTTTAAATATGCATGGAAAAGGCTGAAAGATGTTTTCACTTTATTTTTATAGCATACATTCAGTCTTTATACCCAACCAGAAAAAGTATTTTCCCAAAAACATGAAAACTGCCCTCTCCATAGATTACCATTATTAACTTTTTGCTTATATTCTTCTAGACTTATTTCCAAGAAAATATCAATATAATTTTTTACAAAAGTAGAAATGTACTAAACATTTTGCAATTCTGCTATTTTGACTTAAAATATAGTGAGCATCTTTTTATTAAAGTAAACTTGGTGCAATGACTCACAACTGTAATCCCAGCACCTTGGGAGGCCAAGGCGGGCAGGTCACGAGATCAGGAGATCAAGACCATCCTGGCTAACAGTGCAACCCCGTCTCTACTAAAAATACAAAATATTAGCCGGGCATGGTGGCGGGCACCTGTAGTCCCAGCTACTCGGGAGGCTGAGGCAGGAGAATGGTGTGAAACCAGGAGGCAGAGCTTGCAGTGAGCCGAAATCGCGCCACTGCACTCCAGTCTGGGCAACAGAGCAAGACTCTGTCTCAAAATAAATAAATAAATAAATAAATAAAAATAAAATTAACTTTGGATTAGCTTTGGAAGGTAGAATTTCATATTATTTTAATTATATTCTTTTTACTTTCTGTGAACAAGTTAGAACTAACATTAACAGAAATGTTAGTCATACAAATAGGAATCACAGCAATATTATACACCAGTAACTATTTGAATGAATGGTAATTACATAATTATTATTCTTGTACAAGGACAAGAATCCTAAGTGAAACACAAAAAAAGTGACTCTAAAAAGAAAGCCTAAAGTGGTACAAGTTATTTTGTGACTTGAAAAAATACTTCTTATTCACCATGACTTTGTTAGCCCAGAATTTTTCACATAAATGATTTACTCATTTTTAATAAACAATATGTCCTTAAAAAGTTCATTTCTGAGATATGGCATCAAAAGTACAAGCAACAAAGGAAAACATAGATAAGTTGGACTTCATCAGAATTGAAAACTTTTGTGATTCAAAGGACACTATCAAGAAAGTAAAAGACAGCCCACAAAGTTGGAGAAAATATTTGTAAATTATACATAAGGTACTTGTACAAAAATATATAAAGAACTCTCTTAGAACTAATTAATAAAAAGACAGCCCAATTAAAAAATATGCAAAGAATATGATTAGGC